TTACTCACGGCTGACATTCGGTCTACCTCCATCTTCACCCCTGACGCAGACAACTGATACCCCAAGAAGGAAATCGACTCCTGGAAAAACAGACACTTCTCTGCCTTCACATACAGGTCGTGCTCCACCAGCCTCCGCAACACTCTGCGCACCAGGGCCACATGCTCGACACGGGTAGGTGAGTACACGAGGATGTCATCTATGTACACCACCACTCCCTGTCCCTGCATGTCCCTGAAGATCTCATCCACGAATGATTGGAAAACTGACGGAGCATTCATCAACCCGTATGGCATGACGAGATACTCGTAATGGCCCGAGGTGGTACTAAAGGCTGTTTTCCATTCATCATCCTTCCTGATGCGCACCAAGTTGTACGCGCTCCTGAGATCTAATTTCGTGAAGAAACGCGCCCCATGCAACGACTCAGTCATGGTCGCAATCAGCGGGAGTGGATAACTATACTTCACCGTAATCTGATTGAGACCACGGTAGTCGATGCACGGACGCAACCCCCCATCCTTCTTCTTCACGAAAAAGAAACTCGAGGACGCGGGGGAAGTGGACGGCCGTATGTATCCTTGTCTCAGTGATTCGTCTATGTAAACCTCCATAGCTTTCTTCTCCTCCTGAGACAGAGGATACACATGACTCCGTGGGAGCGCAGCTCCTGCCTGAAGGTCTATCGCACAATCCCCCTGCCTATGGGGTGGCAATCGCGTCGCCCTCGCCTTACTAAACGCGATAGCCAGATCCCCATACTCAGGTGGAATGTGCAATGCGGGCACCTGGTTTGGACTTTCCACCGAGGTAGCCCCTAAGGAAACGCCCAAACATCTACCCACACACTGAGCAGACCACTCCTTCAGAGCCCTCTCCTGCCACGAAATAACGGGGTTATGGGTACTTAACCAGGGCATGCCCAGCACCACCGGATACGCAGGAGAGTCAATCAGAAACAGTTGTATTATCTCCTGATGACTCCCCTGCGCACACATCCTAAGTGGCGCCGTGACCTCCCTGATTAAGCCCGTACCCAACGGACGACTATCTAGGGCGTGAACGGGAAAAGGAACTTCCACAGGGAGAAGGGGAAACCCTAACTCTAAACAAAACTTCTTATCAATGAAATTCCCAGCCGCGCCTGAATCTACCAGCGCCTTACACTGGGAATGAGGTGCCACCTGCGGAAAACACACAGGCATACAAAAATGGGCAACAGTGAGCTCTGGGTGAGTGGGGCGCCTACTCACCTGGAGGGAATCCCCAGTGCGGGACCTGTCGTCATCTCCCCGAGGAGGCCATCCCCAGCACCTAGCCGCGGTGTGTCCTCCCCGACCACAGTTGGTGCAGTGGATGGACCCCCCACTCTGCCGACTCCTCCTACCTCTAGCGCCAGCGCCCCCGAGCTCCATAGGACACGGCTCGGGTGCGCTGGAGGATGAAATGGACGGACCCCCCTCAGGACGTCCGCGGGTAGCCAATAGGTTATCCAACCTAATTGACATGTCGACCAGCTGGTCGAAAGTGAGACTGGCGTCCCGACAGGCCAGCTCCCGACGGACGTCCTCTCTGAGGCTACATCGGTAGAGATCGATGAGGGCCCGATCATTCCACCCTGCATCTGCCGCTAGAGTACGGAATTCGAGTGCGAATTCCTGGGCACTCCTCCTCCCCTGCCTAAGGAAGACCAGACGCTCCCCCGCCGCTTTCCCCTCCGGGGGATGGTCGAACACCGCCCTAAAGCGGCGGGAGAACTCGGTGTAGGTAATGGTCGTGGCGTCGATCTTCCTCCACTCCGCGTTGGCCCACTCCAACGCTTTACCGGCCAGGCAGGAGATTAGGGCGGACACGCTCTCATGCCCTGAAGGTGCCGGATGGACTGTGGCCAGGTACAGCTCGACCTGGAGCAAGAACCCCTGACACCCAGCCGCTGTCCCGTCGTAAGCCCTCGGGAGAGATAGACGGACTCCTCGATGTTCCGGTGCTGGAACGGGCGGGCTGGCCGATGGTGCTGGCTGGGCGGGCGGTGGTGGAGGCGAACCCCAGCCTCGGAGTGTGGAAATAACCTCCTGCAGGGCGTTCCCCATCTGCAGGAGTTGCTCCTGCTGATCCCGAACCTGGGCTTCCAGTCTTGTCTGGGCTGCTTCTGCTCCTGCTGATTCCATGGGTGGTGTGTGATTCTGTCAGGGCGTGTGTAGGTGTGGTGTAGGAAATCAGATGCAGGACGCAGACGGTAGGTTCCAAAAGCTGTATTCCGACCCAAACACAGGCAACAGGGCAACAAAGCCCAACAGCTAAACTACGCCCAAGGCGTGTAGGCAAAATGCGCACAAACAGGTGCGACAAAATATGTAGTGCACGAAACAAGTGCAAACGAGCTCCAGCGCAGTGGAGAGAAATATGCTCAACCGAGCAAACACAACACTGACGAAAACAATCACACACAACACAAGACAAACACAACGAGAAACTTATAGGACACTAATCACGTAAAACAGAAACAGGTGTGACACAAACAGACAAAAGCAAACGAACATGAAAACATAAATCGGTGGCAGCTAGAATTCCGGAGACGACGAACGCCGAAGCCTGCCCGAACAAGGGAGAGAGGCAGCCTCGGCCGAAACCGTGACACCATCTCTCCTTTCTGCCATGCACAAAGAAGATATAATATTCACACCTACTGTTAGTGATATTAATGGTCTTTATAAAATAATGTATTGACACTTGATAAAACATTCCAAAATAATTAAATGTAAACCTACTTCAAAGAGCTTATTATCAAGACCTTTGAAACGTTCTATCCTCAGGTTGGCTGTAAAACTAATTGGTTTTAGCTATAAAGTCACAGGCGACAGTTCTGGCAGACAACGTGGTTCTTAGCCTTCCCCTGTGATAACTAACCATGGCTACAGATTCTCGTCTCTTGTGACTTTCCTGTTTGGGCATTGGCTTCTTTTAAATTACTGATTATGTGATGTGAAGATATTTTTTCCACCTCACAGTTATCACAGACAACAGCTACTATATAAGGCACAAAATAAATAAATCTATACACATCAGTTATTCATGAAGAAATGTGTGGCAATATCATTATTAGTATAGCAATGACTTCCCTCTTCACACATCCTAAGAAAACATTACTTCTCAAAACATGTCTTTATTTTGTCATTAAACCATACAAAGCTACGCTCATAGTAAGATATCTGCAATACTCTTTATGGCTTATAAGTTAACGTCAGGTAGCAAACCAACATGGTATGTTCTCTGGGAGTGAGGCTTCAATGTATGGTCACTCCAAATATAAGAGGTTGGTTAAATAATAAATGGGGGTAAAAAGTTATTGCGAAAGCTTGTGTTTACATTTACATTTACATTTTAGTCATTTAGCAGACGCTCTTATCCAGAGCGACTTACAGTTAGTGAATGCATACGTGTTTGTTTTTGTCATACTGCCCCCCCGTGGGAAACGAACCCACATCCCTGCCGGCCAAACCCTCCCCTACCTTGGACGACGCTGGACCAATTGTGCGCCGCCCATGGGTCTCCCGGTCGCGGCCAGCTGCGACAGAGCCTGGACTCGAACCAGGATCTCTAGTGGCACAGCTAGCACTGCGATGCAGTGCCTTAGACCACTGCGCCACTCGGGAGTTCAAAGTAAAACATTTATACCTATACTTGCAATAAATAAATATACCTCACATATACAGTATTTAGTACTGTAATAGAGTAGGAAAACAATGAATTACAATTCAAATCTAAATAAATACAGATATTCCTATATATTTTGTGAAAAGTCAATAGATGTCTTTGTAACTCAAGATTCTAAAACAGTCAAGGAAGCTATATACTGATGAGGTTACTTAAATTATGCAACTTACACCACATGACCAAAAGTATGTGGACATATGTTGAACATCTCATTCCAAAGTCATGGGCATTAATATGGAGTTGGTCCCCCCTTTGATGCTATAACATCCTCCACTCTTCTGGGAAGGCTTTCCACTAGATGTTCGAACATTACTGCAGGGACATGCTTCCATTCAGCCACAAGAGCATTAGTGAGGTCGGGCACTGATGTTGGGCGATTAGGCCTGGCTCGCAGTCGGCGTTCCAATTAATCCCAAAGGTGTTCAATGGGGTTGAGGTCAGGGCTCTGTGCAGGCAGGTCAAGTTCTTCCACACTGATCTCGACAAACCATTTCTGTATGGACCCCACTTTGTGCACAGGGGCATTGTCATGCTGAAACACGAAGCACAGAATCGTCTAGAAAGTCATTGTATGCTGTAGCATTAAGATTTCCCTTCACTGGAACTAAGGGGCTTAGCCCGAACCATGAAAAACAGCCCCAGACCATTATTTACAGTGGCACTATGCATTGGGGCAGGTAGCGTTCTCCTGGCATCTGCCAAACCCAGATTCGTCCATCGGACTGCCAGATGGTGAAGCATGATTCATCACTCCAGAGAACGCGTTTCCACTACTCCAGAGTCCAATGGTGGCGAGCTTTACACCACTCCAGCCGACACTTGGCATTGCGCATGGTGATCTTAGGCTTGTGTGCGGCTGCTCGGCCACGGAAACCCATGTCATGAAGCTCCCAACGAACAGTTATTGTGCTGACGTTGCTTCCAGAGGCAGTTTGGAACTCGGTAGTGAGTGTTGCAACCGAGGACAGATTATTTTGGCGAGCTACGCGCTTCAGCACTCGGCGGTCCCGTTCTGTGAGCTTGTGTGGCCTACCACTTCGCGGCTGAGCCGTTGATGCTCCTAGACGTTTCCACTTCACAATAACAGCACTTACAGTTGACCGGGGCAGCTCTAGCAGGGCAGAATTTTTACAAACTAACTTCTTGGAAAGATGGCATCCTATGACAGTGCCACGTTGAAAGTCACAGATCTTCAGTAAGGCCATTCTACTGCCAATGTTTCTCTATGGAGATTGCGTGGCTGTGTGCTTGATTTTAAACACCTGTCAGCAACGAGTGTGGCTGAAATAGCCGAATCCACTAATTTGAAGTGTTGTCCACATCCCTTTGGCCATGTAGTGTATCATTGAGACAGAAAATGGCTTGGTCTACAATGACCACATTTCCTAATCTTGTTCTCACTTAAATGCCCAAATAAAATGAGATGCAAGTCAAAGCCTTTGAGTGGCTAACAGTAAATTAAATTAATAAAGTTGGTCTTCATTGATAGGTTTTCGCAAATCCACTGAGGTGCATTCAGAGAAAGGTTAATACCACCAGTTTAACAGTTAAGACGCAGAGAGGATCCCGACCTGCCTTATCTAAACGTGTGTATGTGTGTGTGTGTGTGCACGTGCTTCCGGCTGTGTGTGCATGCATCTGCAGCCGTCCGTCTGTCCATCTGTGTGTGCGTGTGATGGTACTCTAGACCTCGGTGTCGTCCCTTCCTACGGGGAATTCTTTGATCACCTGGGAGAGGCGCTCTGCGATGGTTCTGCTGCTGGCAATGATCAGCCTCCTGGACATCAGGTCAAACGGACCTCCTGGGTAGGACAACAATAAAATAGACCCATGTTATAGCAAGTACCCAGTGTTACTCATTTTAACCTCATTGAGAACTTTAAGATGGTGAAATATAATTCCTAAGATCAATAAAATGATTTACTCATGACCTGGAGGCCTTGATCATGTACCATCTACAATGCACACCACTTCTTCAGAAGCCCGCCACTTCCTGGTTACAACTACAGTACCAGTCAAAGGTTTGGACACACCTACTCATTCAAGGGTTTTTCTTTATTTTGACTATTTTCTACATTGTAGAATAATAGTGAAGACATCAAAACTATCAAATAACACATATGGAATCATGTAGTAACCAAAAAAGTGTTAAACAAATCCAAATATATTTTAGATTCTTCAAATAGCCACCCTTGCCTTGATGACAGCTTTGCACATTCTTTGCATTCTCTCCACCAGCTTAATGAGGAAGTCACCTGGAATGCATTTCAATTAACAGGTATGCCATCTTAAAAGTTACAGAAGATAGCCCTATTTAGTAAAAGACCAAGTCCGTATTATGGCAAGAACCGCTCAAATAAGCAAAGAGAAACGACAGTCCATCATAAAGACATGAAGGTCAGTCAATACGGAACATTTGAAGAACTTTGAAATTTTCTTCAAGTGCAGTCGCAAAAACCATCAAGCGCTATGATGAAACTGGCTCTCATGAGGACCGACACAGGAATGGAAGACCCAGAGTTACCTCTGCTGCAGAGGATAAGTTCATTAGAGTTACCAGCCTCAGAAAATGCAGCCCAAATAAATGCTTCACAGAGTTCAAGTAACAGACACATCTCAACATCAACTGTTCAGAGTTAACTGTGTTGATCAGGCCTTCATGGTCGAATTGCTGCAAAGAAACCACTACTAAATGACACCAATAATAAGAAGAGACTTGCTTGGGCCAAGAAACACGAGCAATGGACATTAGACCGGTGGAAATGTGTCCATTGGTCTGGAGTCCAAATTTGAGATTTTTGGTTCCAACCACTATGTCTTTGTGAGACGTGGTGTGGGTGAACGGATGATCTCTGCATGTGTACTTCCCACCGTAAAGCATGGAGGAGGAGGTGTTATCGTGTGGGTGCTTTGCTGGTGACACTGTCTGTGATTTATTTAGAATTCACCAGCATGACCACCACAGCATTCTGCAGCGATACGCCATCCCATCTGGTTTGGGCTTAGTGGGACTATCATTTGTTTTTCAACAGGACAATGACCCAACACACCTCCAGGCTGTGTAAGGGCTATTTTACCAAGAAGGAGAGTGATGGAGTGTTGCATCAGATGACCTGGCCTCCACAATCCCCCGACCTCAACCCAATTGAGATGGTTTTGGATGAGTCGGACCGCAGAGTGAAGGAAAAGCAGCCAACAAGAGCTCAGCATATGCGGGAACTCCTTCAAGACTGTTGGAAAAGCATGCCAGCTGAAGCTGGTTGAGAGAATGCCAAGAGTTTGCAAAGCTGTCATCAAGGCAAAGGGTGGCTATTTGAAGAATCTCAAATATAAAATATATTTTCATTTGTTTAACACTTTTTTGGTTACTACATGATTCCATATGTGTTATTTCATAGTTTTGATGTCTTCACTATTATTCTACAATGTAAAAAATTGTAGAAATAAAGAAAACACTTGAATGAGTAGATGTGTCCAAACTTTTGACTGGTAGTGTATGTAGATAGCATCGCTGCAGTGCACAGTGATTCACCTGAGATGTCCATGATGACACCCCCAGCCTCTCTAATGATGGCAGCTCCTCCAGCCATATCCCAGCAGTGGATTCCCATGTGGTAGTAAGCATCAGCCGCTCCGCACGCCACCAGGCACATGTTGACCGCCGCACTCCCCGGCGAGCGGATGCTACGTTAGCAACATTTGCCTGTTAGCCTTATACATATCTAAAACACTGTAAGTCATCAAACAACATAATGTGTGGCTCAGTGGGTAGAGCATGGCACTTGCAATGCCATGGTCGTGCGTTCGATTCCCACTGTATGGATGCACTACTTACTGTAAGTCGCTTTGGATAAAAACGCCTGCTAAATGGCATATATTATTATATTAAACAGCTCTCTTTCTGTGGCCTCGTTGATGTTTGATGCATTATAAGCTCACAATATTGAGATGATGTTTAAACAGAGACTGTGGGAAGTAATGTTTACCCGTGTACAGGGATGGTGAGGATTGTCTCGATGTTGCCCATCATGGTTTTGAAGTGCTCTGGATCTTTCTTAAAGCCCATCTCTGTCAGGACCAAGGACTTGGTGATGTCTACACAGAGAGAGTGTCATGAGTCATGACCACTCATTGAATCCATTATACACAACAAACTAGCATAATGCTAACCAAACTAATTCTTATACAACAAAATGAGATACAATTAATCTGTATATCTTCCTAATGTTATCATGATCAATTGATTCCTAATAGCTGTTCTGACAGACCATTTTGAAGGCACAACGCTCAAATTAAGAGTAGTGATGATCTAGGATCAGTTTAACTAACCTTTTAGATCATAATGACGACGATTAAATGGACGGGGGGGGACCAGACCCTGGATCAACGCTCCTACTCTAGAACGCTTTATGAATACCGGCCCTGATGTTTGGTGAATGACTCTACCTAGTGGATATTATCTCAACTGCAACACATGGGCTCAGCCAGACAGACAAAGGCTGTACAACATACCTTCCTGCCCAGACACTTTGATGGGTTCTCCGTTACAGAATGACCCTTTCCCCTTCCGTGCTGTGTACATCTTGTCCTCTTGGCAGCTGTAGACAATGCCAAACTCTATCTGAGTCAAAGACATAGCAAAGAGAGAAGTTTGACTTAAAATGCAAAGTTGAATTTTCTACAAAGTCAAAACTTCTACTGCAGAAATAAGACAACAAAACCTACTGAATTCCTGCTACTCAGTTATTACTGTGTTGTAAATCTCATGACGTTGCCAAACACAGAAAACCTTTACCTCTTTCTTTACAGCAAAGCCAATCGACACAGACACAAAGGGGAATCTGACTTAAAAGAAAATAGAAAATGTGTTAAGGCATTAAATAAGTGAATTCCTAGAGGAACTAAGCAAATGAGAATCCATTTCTATTAAAACCCTTTTCTCCAACCCTTGAGGTTACTCCAGGAAAAATCTTGTTAAAAATAGCTATTTTAATATGGAGCTAACTATGGCAAAGAAAAATACTATTGATGTAGGAGGCTATAGCTTTTCTGGTTATGAGGACATTCGATGCTTTCTTCATATGTTAGGCTATATGATGGGGCATGTGTGCAATACAGAACTGTAACACCGTGCAGCACCTGTGGACAAAGTTGGTGGTCCCATCAATGGGGTCGATGATCCAGGTGGGATTATCAGTTAGGATGCTGGGTGCTCCCGCGGCTACAGACTCTTCACCTATAAAACTGGTGAAAGAAGAATTCAAGAGAAGATGTTGGATAATATCAGAAACAGAAGCACAGTACAGCACCTTTCAAGAGCTTAGGAACAAGACCTTGATCAAATGCAAATACTTTCAAATAATTGACATGTGCTTGATTTAGCTTGACCTGCATGCAAGGTGGGCATAATTTGCACTTTTGGGACTATTGAATTGGGTTCCATTATACCACACAAGCTAAATCAAGCGCAAGCATTTTATTTATGTATTTGATCCAAGTCTGCTGGGAACACTAAAGAAAAATACTATTTATCTCTAAAGCAGCAAATGATAAAGGTGAGTGGTGGTCCAGGCTTTGAGGCCCCGCAGTGAGCTACTGTACCTGTGTGTGGGGAACCTCTCCTTGATGGAGGAGATGATGACCTGCTCCACCTTCTGGTCGGTCTCAGTGACCAGGTCCACAGGAGAGCTCTTCTGCATGATTGAGATGTCCTTCTGCAACGCTTCTCGGATCATCTGACAGAGAGAGACGAGAGAGACATGAGAGAGAGAGAGAGAGAGAGTGTCAGCCAGCTAGTCTCAGGAGGGATTAAATAAGGATGATAATAATCACAATAATTGTTTGGATCTACATACAGTACAGTGCTCAAAGCGCTTTATATAGTAAGGCAGGAAACTCACCTCTTCCACCACCAATTTGTTGCACCCACTTGGGTGATGACAGATCATTGTTTCATTACTGTAATGTTTTCCTTATAATGGTTTATATAAACACAACACCCTGATGAGAGTATGATAGCCCATTATGATAGACTACAAGGCATTGATAGACCATAAGGCAGGGTTCCCCAACTGGCGTCCCACGTGCAATTTTTTTTGGCCACACAAGTCTTCTGGGCAAAATAAAAAAGTTGAGGGAAAAAATGAAATTGTTGGACAGGAAGACCGTAAAAATCAGCAAATCAGCTCCAAGTGATTTTTTATTTAGGACATCTGTTCCAAAGTATTCCTACGCATAATAGTGCCTTCAGAGAGTATTCACACCCCTTTACTTTTTTCACATTTTGTTGTGTTACAGCCTGAATTTAAAATGGATTAAACTGAGATTTTGTTTGGTCACTTGCCTTCGTACAATACCCCATAACGTCATAGTGAAATTATGTTTTTCGAAATATTCACAAATTAATTGAAAATGAACCATTTTTTGGTTACCACATGAACCAGACAGTGATAAAGGTAACGTCCTCAACATAGGAATGACCAATATCAATATTCAGACTATGGTGTCACTGCACAAGAATAAAAAGGAAGGTTCTAAGTAACATCATACCAACGTTTGCAGTATATTTTATAGTTTTGATGTCTTCACTATTATTCTACAATGTAGAAAATAGTAAAAATAAAGAAAAACCCTTGAATGAGTAGGTGTTCTAAAACTTTTGACCGGTAGTGTATGTTCTGGCCCCCTGACTATCCGCTCAAGAAAAAATCGGCCCGCGGCTGAATCTAGTTGATGATCCCTGCCATAACGTAATATTATTCACTGTGACCTAGCTAGTAGGGTATTATGCTGTTTTCTCACCTTCCCAGCCTCTTTGGTCACCTCAAGGCAGTGGTCCATGCATTCTTTCCAAGGGTCTGCCATGATGACAACAACCTAAACAAACAAGTAACAACACCCACATGAGAATTAAACAAAAACCAGGGCTGGGTTTCCAAAAGCATATTAGCACTAAAATCATATTCATTCCATTGAAACTAAATGGACAAAATATGTTCTTAGTGCTACGATGCTTTTCGGAAACCCAGCACTGGAGAATAATTTGCAAGATGTTCACAAATTGTTCTAGCTAAATAGAAACGGAGATAATCAATGTCGAACATTTTAGACGTAACCTAGCTAACGTTAGCTAGCCATAACCTAGCTAACGTTAGCTAGCCAGCTGACAGGCTATGAGGTGTTCCCGGCATTGATCACTAGCAAAATCAGCAAGGATTCACAACAGCTAGCTAGTGACCAGCTAACCACCCTATAAATTGTAACAATAATCGATTTGCCAGCAAAGACAGTTTGAAAACCGAATACTTACTGTATTGTTTCCCTTTTCTAATGTCTGCACTACTATTCTGCCAGCAGCACAAATTATGACATCTTTTTCGTATAGCAATGACAAAACCTTCAAAATAAAAGCCCACATTTGAACACATTGTAATATTCGCTGTTTAAAAGGATATTGCAATTTAATCAAGGGCCACTTTTATTTTGGCATCAAGAAAGGCAATTAGTAATTGATGAAAACGAATTTAAAGATTTGTTTAAAGATTTTTTTTAAAACCAAAAATGAAAAAAATACAATGTTGACACTGGTATGTTGAGAATATTGGGATGTAGAGAAAAACTACTTTACTTCCTGTATCAGCTTAGTGGGATGGGAAATACTCAGTAGGCTCTCTACTAACCAGATAGGGGGCAGAGAAAAGCCAGCAGCAGGCCATGTAATACAGTCCCCCTCAAAAACTTAACACATTTGGTTAGTAAAGACCCTACTGAGTATTTCCCGATCCCACTTAGCTGACACAGTTACAAAAAATGTCTCTCTACAACCCAATATGTATCCCATGTACAGTGTATTACAGTGTATTGCATTGGGGGCTATGGAGGGGTGGAAAAGGGGCCAGCAGCATGCTGTGTGACACAGTCCCCCTCAAAAAGTTAGTAGAGACCCTACTGAGGATTTTTCCACCCCAGGCATGTTGGCATTTATTGACATGAATCTTGCCCTGGTGGCAGCTCTGCTCAGTGGTCACTAGCTGTCACAGCCACAAAGTCCTTTTAAACCTAACCCTAACTGATTTGAAACCTAACCTTAACCACACTGCTAACCTTAAATTAAGATCAAAAAGCTCATTTTTGTTGTCATGAATTTTACGATATAGCCAATGTTGACTTTGCAGCTGATCTATCTAGCGGAAATCGCTTAGCTCTGCCTGCAGGGCAAGATTCATGACAACAACTGTCAACCTGCGGCTAGCGAGGGGGCGGAGTGAAAAAAAGCCAGCAGCAGGCCGTGCGACACAGTCCCCCTCAAAAAGTAACCATGTTTGGTTAGTAGAGACCTTACTGAGTATTTCCCACCCCAGTTTATATGAGATGGTAGTACAAATAAATCTCTACAACACAATAAGTATCCCATTTAGCAGTGGAGGTTGCTGAGGGGAGGACAGCTCATAATAATGGCTGGAACAGAGTAAATGGAATGGAATACCATTCCACCTATTACGCTCCAGCCATTACCACAAGCCCATCCTCCCCAATTAAAGGTGCCACCAACTTGTGGTCCTCTGTAGCTCAACTGGTAGAGCACGGCGCTTGTAACGCCAAGGTAGTGGGTTCGATCCCCGGGACCACCCATACACAAAAATGTATGCACGCATGACTGTAAGTCGCTTTGGATAAAAGCGTCTGCTAAATGGCATATTAATTAATTAATATTATTAATTATTAATTAACTTCCTGTGATATACAGTATATTGCATTGAGAGCTATGGTGGGAGCGGAGTAAGGTGCCAGCAGCACTATGTATAATGCCGCGTTCACGTGCTAGTCGGAAGTAGGAAACTCTAAAATTTCTGATTTGCTAACTCGTTGTAGAAAGATGATCCTGAGTTTCCCACTTGGAAAGTATCAGAATCATCCAATAGGAAGCTCTACGCAAATATCTTACTTTCATTTTAACTTGGAGGTTCCGAGTTTCCGATAGCATGTGAACACGGCATTAGACCTGTTGCCCACCAGAAGAGATCTAGTTTAATTCTACCGATTCTATTGAGTAATTACATTAATATATATTTAAATGTATTATTAAAGGGAAATTCCTTAAATATATTTCCATCGTCTTTGCAGGGTGACTCTTATTTTGAAGGAAAGAAAACCGTGTTTGCAATGCCAGCATAATGAGCTGCTGCCAGCAGAACGGGTAATGACTACAAAACGCAAAGCGAGAGCGTTTACTCCCCCAGAATCTGTCCACGAAAATAAGACCACGAAGCCAATGAGAGTGTCAATGAGTGTCAAATTTGGTCAACAAAAATGTTAATTGCTAATTTGCTACATGAGGCTTATTTTATCGAATATAAGTTGGCACGTGGCATTTCGGCAAAAAATAATAAAAACGTTATATTGGAGTTGTGCTGTTGTTTACAAGCGTATCTGCCCTCTCATTGGCTAGAAGGGTCCCATCTGATTCTGCCTGCCTTCCATGTATTTCCATTGTTAGAGCGTTCACGCGAATACCTTGTCAATATAATAGAAACTCTTTGATAATCCCACAGATAGAACAATGAGCCTGAGACAGACGTTTCGCCACATGTATAATTCTGAAGCATCCGTTTGGATTTTGGACGAAATTCAGCAAATTTTATCATCGGTGAAACATTTGATCTCAATACAGTTTTCTGTTCCCAAAAATACAATCTGTTATGAACAGATTGGACTAAGTTTTGTGGACTTTGTCCTTTGCCAAAGTTTTAAAAAATTATGTTGTTTGGAAGGAGTACAAGGGCGAATGTAGTTATTGCACACGTGCACTTCAGAGTAGACGTTTCCTAATTGAAATATGCAAATGTTGCTAGAACGAGCCAATACGAGAGATCACCATGATGTCACAATAGCAAGCAAATTTAGTTCTGGATGGAAAAAGTTGCGTTCTGTGCATGGTTGTGCTCTGTATTTGCAAATCAGTAATTGCATAATGACATTACAGTAAGGAGCCGGCATAATCGACTTTCCAACTAACATGAATCATTGTAAATGCACAGTGCTATTTCATGGTGTAATCTCGAAATTCACCGAGCAGATGGCGGTAGTGAGCCACTAGATCTATTCATTACCTGGCTATGTGAGGTTAGTCAGCCACGTCCAAAACTGTTAGTTCGCAATCAACGAGCAATATGATAGACCGTGCTTGTTCATTCATAGATAAAGGATATAAGTCAAGCAATAATATCGTCTGTTAAACAGAGGTTGTTATTTTCTGTGTACAACATTAACTACAAAAAAGCAAGCAGGCAACTAGTTCAAATCTGGTAGCTAGATGAGGAAAACAATTCTCACATAAAAATTTTAATGATTACATGTTGACTATGGCGTACTGTATGCCAGACAAGTAGCTAGCTAGTACACTTTTTGATAACCTCGTAGCCCCAGCAACTCACGTATGGCAGGCTATGGAAACGTTATTGGCATCGGATAAGGAAATATTTGTGTGCTGATGTAGCTACCAAGCCAGTTTATTCATTGAAATTGAGGGTTGTCTTTGCTAGCTAACGTTACATGACTGACATCTGCAGTCATCCATGTGTGCTGACAAGATAGCCAATGCAATGGCTGAGGCAGGGATATCTACCTAGCTACCACGCAGGCTGGCAGCTTGTGGTCATTTGGTGTTCAAACAAAATAGCTGAAAAATAAAGAGAATAGCTGGAACTCAGGTAGCTAACTAGCTAGCTAGTTTCATAAATGGAACAGATTAGCTATCTATCCATCATTGCAATTAGAGCTAGCTAGCTGGCTAGCTATATGAATATTATTTTAATACATACAATTACATGGCTCTGGTTAGCATACAGGTCAGCTGCAACCAAGGCAATGTAGTCATTTACACCATGAACGAAGAAAACTAGCTACCAACCTAGAAAAATTGAGGCTTTATAACAGTCCAGAGTAGTGTTGATTTTATAGAAATGTTAGAAAACGGAGTATTAATTATTCATTAGATAATCTCGCTAGTTCGGCGGTGGTCTGCATATGGTTTCCTATGCGTTCTCGAGTCCAGTTGTCCGACAAAGATTTGTATAACTAAACCAAGGGTGTGTTCGTAAATTCAATCTGGAGTGCCAGAGTGGTCAGAGGGTTGTCAGATTGTCAGTTTGTAAATTCCAAGCGTTTCGCTCTCGGAGCTCTACGAGCTACTTCGACACAAATGAGAAAACACCTCACTCTGTCTATTTTACTCGCCCTAGCAGAGCTGGTTAGACTGTTTTCAAGTTATTTAGAGCGTTGGTGACTGTAACTGTGCTGCTGGCAATAATTTAATTAAGTTTTTTGCCGACGGGTGTTGCGGGTTTGTAAATTCCTCAGTGATTCTGCGCTCTGGCACACTCAGACGAGAGAGCTCTGAAATTGGAGGAGATAGCCAGAGTGAATTTACGAAAGCACCCCAAACTAGACCTTAGCTGGTTGTTTCAAATGGGAACAAAAAAGTCATAACGGGCAATACAAGCAAGGACGTGGGCAGAGCCATGCACGAACTAGCGAGATCCTATTGGAGCGTTCTAGCTACATATTTCCGTTAGGGAACGCCTAGTCTGAAGTGCGTAGGTGCAATTTATTTTATTGATTTCACCTATATTTAACCAGGTAAGCCAGTTGAGAACAAGTTCTCATTTACAACTGCGACCTGGCCAAGATAAAGCAAAGCAGTGCGATAAAAACAACAACACAGAGTTACATATGGGGTAAACAAAACAAAAAGTCAAAAATACAACAGAAAATAAATATACAGTGTGTGCGAATGGAGTAAGTTATGGAGGTAAGGCAATAAATAGGCCATAGTGCAAAATAGTTACAATTTCGTATTAACACTGGAATGATAGATGTGAAAAAGATGATGTGCAAATAGAGATACTGGGGTGCAAATTAGAAAAATAAATAACAATATGGGGATGAGGTAGTTGGGTGGGCCAATTTCAGAAAGGCTGTGTACAGGTGCAGTGATCGGTAAGCTGCTCTGACAACTGACGCTTAAAGTTAGTGAGGGAGATAAGAGTCTCCAGCTTCAGCAATTTTTGCAATAACTCAATTCGCCTTTGCACTTCTTCTAAACAACGCAAAGGGTAAAGTCTACAAAACTTAGTCCACTCTGTTCGTAACAGATTCTAGTTTTGGGAACAGAAAACTGTATTGAGATCAAATGTTTAATCGATGAGAAAATTAGCAGAATGTCGGCCAAAATCCATCTCGTTCCATTTTCTCCAACTGCCGGCCACTCGCCAAGCGGATGCTTCACAATTATACATCCGGTGAGATATCTGTCTCATTGTTCTATCTGTGTTTCCGATGCTCGCAACCCGGAACTACCAGAACGGCTTGATTTGGTTTCAGCTCCGTCACGTCATGCCATTGTTACGAACGTTCTCAAGCAGCCCTCCGTGGTGTCTGAAGTCGTGATAAAGCCAGTCATTCTGGACGGTGGCTAACGACTGTTTAGTCAAAATTACACTATAGTGCCTGGAAATACGATGACGTTGCTAAAATGGTCACATTTAGTAGGAAGGAACTTGGCAGCATTATCATGACGTCAAATGTACTTTAGACAGATGGCAATGTCATCAGCTAGCAAAGTTTGTCAAAAATAGCTAGCAATGCTAACGGTGTCCTCCCCTCAATCTTAGCTAACGTTATATTGCATCTAAAGTCAATCTGACGACGACAAAAGGTTTTGTACTAATTATTGTGTCATTGTATTTCCAAGCCACTGTAATGCACTTTTGATGAAAACTTCATCAGCACTTATTGATGATGCATTGAGTAGAATGCTCATTCGGGCATCAGTCCAAAACGAACGTTCAAAACAAACAATATTGTGACGAAACATGCAACCCAATAATAGGATCTCGCTAGCTTGTGCTTGGCTCTGCCCACGTCCTTGCTTGTTCTGCCCACTCTGATTCATTTTCTCCCATTTGAAACTACAGGCTGTGGTCTGTCTTGGGTTAGTTATAAACAATCTTCGGTAATACTGTCTGCAATCAGAACCTGGCAAAACTGTTTAAGGGGAGGGACTACCTGGATAAAAGCCCACTATTGGTTCAATGGAATTATTGACAGTAAAAGCACCACTGAAGTGCCGAACCGTCATTCACAGCATGAATAAACTCCACCTACTAGGAAGTAGCTAAGCCTTCCTTACAATACCAGTGGCAGCAGAAGGAGCACATCAAGCTAAATACCAAATTAATGGTGTCTAATTGATCAAAACAAATTTTTTTTCCATGTTATGACTAAATCAAACATTGTTGCAGTGTCATATCTATATTTTATTACTCGAATTAAGGCCTGATTACTATTAAAATATGACTTATGTTTGTAAGAAGCCAGTCCCTCTCTCACCCCCAGTACTTGACTTGGACAGAAGCTCACCTGAGTCCAGTACCGGCACCTAAAATGTTCTGTTCCTCTAATAGAAAATGATCTCAAAAGTGTTGTGGAGCTCCTGCACCTAAATATAAACAGTACTGGCACCCAAAATGAGTACTATTTCAGTCCAAGTCAAGCACTGCTCACCAGGCTTGTCAGGTCAAGCTAAAATGTATAGCCCAATGACCGCCCAAAAGGGCTGAAAACTAGGCTTTTCTTTTTCTTCTTTTTTTTTACAGCAAGAGAGGAGTTGCCATATCTATACAATAAACCCTTTTTCCATAACGTTATCGAGACAATTAAGAAGCAATATCATAGTAACTTGTAACGACGTTAAAAGCAAAATGTGGGTTTCCTCAAAATAAGATGTATTGCAAGCTATGACATGGCGTAATAAAGGAATTAGAATATGTGACAAGAGAAAATATAATTTTCCCTTATTAAACTCGCCAGATCATTTTCCATCAATGGATGTCGATTTAACTCGATTGACTGCTATGATTAAGCAATAAGGCACAAGGGGGTATGGTATATGGCCAATATACCACGGTTAAGGGCTGTTCTTATGCGCGACGCAACACGGGGTGCCTGGATACAGCCGTTAGCCGTGATATATTGGCTATTATAAACTGGTTACCAACGTATTTAGAACAGTAAAAAGTAATGTTTTGTCATAACTGTGGTATATGGTCTGGGTGGTTCGAACCCTGAATGCTGATTGGCTGACAGCCATGGTTAATCAGACCGTATACCACGGGTATGACAAAACATTTATTTGTACTGCTCTAATTACGTTGGTAACCAGTTTATAATAGCAATAAGGCACCTCAGGGGTTTGTGGTATATGGCCAATATACCACGGCTAAGGGCTGTATCCAGGCACTCCGCTTTGCTTCGTCCCTAAGAATAATAATAAGAAGAAGAAGAACAGCCCTTAGCCGTGGTATATTGGCCATATACCACACCCCCTCGGGCCTTATTGCTTAAATATACCACGGCTTTCAGCCAATCAGCATTCATGGCTCGAACCAGGTTTGTAAATGTAAATAAATCCCCTTTGTGCATGTGCATAACTATAGGTTAATCCGACAGGAGAGTTTGAGTGATGAAAGTTGGACAGAGGATCTCGAAATCTCTGAGCAAGAAACACTTGGATGAACATAAAAAACAATTGTTAGGCTATTTTCTGGCAATTGTGCTGTTATTATGTGCCAGATGTTAAGACTACAAACCGTTATAAATGGGCCATTTGCGAGATTGATTTGTCATTTCAATAGGCATAGGCTACAGACTCAAATCTGGGTTTATGATTCTAATAAAATGTTGCCATAGTTCGCTTGGATAAAGGCAGGTAGCCTATAGCCGCTGATAGGCCTACATCTCATTTCAGATAGTCTACAGTAGCCTAGGCAAGATGTCAACTGAACGATTTAGCAGCTTGCTTAGTTCAAATTAACAGACTAATTTATTCAACATGAATAGCGAGGCGATTTCGCAAATAAGTGCTTGTTTCCCCAAGAATCTGCTGGAATAGGCTACTGAGGATGGGGTCATAATTTCAATCACTGAATTAAATATTAATAATGTGTATGAACTGGATATGCTGTCAACAACAGCCAATGTTCATTTTTTTAAATTTGTTTTACCTGTAGCCTAGACTGACTACTGTTACCGTCAATCTAATGCGTTCATAATAACACAAAGTTACAACAACAATAAACTGAAGTTATAGGCTATTTATTGAATTGCTTTGCCAGCTCCAGGTAGGCTACACAAGTGGCACACATTGATTTGCAATGACTCCAGTGATATTGTAATTTCAACATATTTATTGTGTCAAATGGTAGCCTACAATGGCATTTACATTAATAGGCTACTTGATGGCCAACAGAGGCAAATGTATAATTCTCCACATTTAGCCTAATGTCAGTATCATTTTCCCGATAAAAATAACCACGCAAGGGAGTTCCATAACTTCCATTTCAAATTTCCACTCAGGCAGCCCCCGAGACCCAAGAACTTCGATTGGTACCGTTTTCTTGAAGCAGTCAACATTAGAATGCAGTTTAAACCACCTCCAAGCAGATTTATGTAATGCGCTCTAGTGCATCCAAAGTCGTTTTCCAGTGCTTTGTCTCCATTATTTCTTGATGTGCATCAGTTCTAGAGTATTAATGTTTTATGGAAATAGCTGTCTCCATAATGACAATCTAAATAGCCTACTGACAACTGGTAAACATTTTTTGTCACAACATGGGCGCGTGTTGCTCTCTCTCCTCTAGCTCACGTGCCTCAGCCAATAACTGAATAAGCTCTCCCCCCTCTACGTAAGAAGGCCACTCCCCTCTAACGCTCACATTTCCAGAGAAATGAAACCAACAGCTGAGCTGAAACAGTAGCAGTAGGTTACACTGAGTCTTAGTAGTAAAATCAAAGATATTCATCTCTGGTATGTATCGAATTCGCTGTAGTAACGTGGCTGAAACTATAGATATTTTGAATCAAAAAAAGTTAAGTTGTCTAATCTGTGTGGGTTTACTGGATCTGAGGAGTATTCCCTGTGGACATAGTTACTGTAAAGTCTATACTGGTAACTGGGATCAGGATGACCAAAATGATCCCTACCACATCTGCCTTCAGTGCAGACAGACCTACACCCCAAGACCTGCACTATACACAAACACCAAGATTGATGAAGTGGTGGAAAAATGTGAAAAGACTAGACTGCAAGCTGATGACACTGGATCTGGAAACCTAGTCATATACTCCAAGTCATATACTGAGGAAATATACTGAGGAGATACTCAGCAAACATATGCTGAGAAATCAGTACCTGGTCAGCATGAACAAGGTATGGATAATAACTCTTTCCTGTCTGCAGTGACTTAACTACATGGAATAGATGTAGAAAGAAATGTCTCTTATTACAAAATCGTAGCCTACTTTGTACAATGTACTTTGGATGTCATGTGAGTTCAGTGAAGATTACACAGGCCCCACCCATCTACCAGAGCAGGCAGAGACACAGTTCTAGAACAATCCAAGATTCAGGAGGAGTGTATATCAAACAGAGAATAATGTTCTAATACCACAGTATTATTGCCTCAATACCACTACGTGTTTGCCAACAGAGAAAGAGTGGGAACAAACCACACAAACAAGAAGCCCAGTCACCAGCTCCCTCTTCCAGCGGAAAGGACATGGTAAGTTCTGGCAAGTGTGTATGTACACAGTCGGTACATGTGTGTTCAGTAAACCCTCCTGATTGAATATTGCTGGTGATATCATGCTCACCTCTTTTAACTTGAATGTCTATATGTCACTGCCTCACCTGCCCCCAACTTATAACTTTAAGGAGTTTCAGGATCCAGAGCCAGGGAAGACACAGGAACTGTATGCCCAAATGGATGACCTCCTGGATAGGGTGACTCAAAACAACTTCCAGCAATCAATGAAGACAATGACTGAGTTCACCATTAACACAGAGGCCAGACTGAGGTCCATCACTGACCTCATATATGACAGGGCCATAGCACACCCTGCCAGCTCTGTGGTCTACGCCAACATGTGCCACTACCTCATGGCGGTAAGTCTGTATCTGTACAATTCTCCATCTGTCTGTATTTTGTCTGTCTCTCACAGAGGTGATTGCTATTTCTTTGTCAAATGCCAATGACCAGACATGGAGAACAGTTGGAAATCTTACAGACTTTGCCATAGACAGTGTAAACCCTTTGCACTGTCACAGTTGGTTAAAGGCAGTGTTCCCCAACTGGTGGGCCTTATATTTATAATTCAATTTTATTCATAAAATCTGTTTTCATTGTTGGGCACCAGACTGTAAAAACACCAGGAAATCAGCTCCAAGTGATTCATTTTGGATATCTGTTCAAGTATTCCCACGCATAATAGATACAGTGGGGAGAACAAGTATTTGATACACTGCCGATTTTGCAGGTTTTCCTACTTACAAAGCATGTAGAGGTCTGTAATTTTTATCATAGGTACACTTCAACTGTGAGAGACGAAATCTAAAACAAAAATCCAGAAAATCACATTGTATGATTTTTAAGTAATTAATTTGCATGACATAAGTATTTGATACATCAGAAAAGCAGAACTTAATATTTGGTACAGAAACCTTTGTTTGCAATTACAGAGATCATACGTTTCCTGTAGGTCTTGACCAGGTTTGCACACACTGCAGCAGGGATTTTGGCCCACTCCTCCATACAGTCCTTCTCCAGATCCTTCAGGTTTCGGGGCTGTCGCTGGGTAATACGGACTCTCAGCTCCCTCCAAAGATTTTCTATTGGGTTCAGGTCTGGAGACTGGCTAGGCCACTCCAGCACCTTGAGATGCTTCTTACAGAGCCACTCCTTAGTTGCCCTGGCTGTGTGTTTCGGGTCGTTGTCATGCTGGAAGACCCAGCCACGACCCATCTTCAATGCTCTTACTGAGGGAAGGAGGTTGTTGGCCAAGATCTCGCGATACATGGCCCCATCCATCCTCCCCTCAATAAGGTGCAGTCGTCCTGTCCCCTTTGCAGAAAAGCATCCCCAAAGAATGATGTTTCCACCTCCATGCTTCACGGTTGGGATGGTGTTCTTGGGGTTGTACTCATCCTTCTTCTTCCTCCAAACACGGCGAGTGGAGTTTAGACCAAAAAGCTATATTTTTGTCTCATCAGACCACATGACCTTCTCCCATTCCTCCTCTGGATCATCCAGATGGTCATTGGCAAACTTCAGACGGGCCTGGACATGCGCTGGCTTGAGCAGGGGGACCTTACGTGCGCTGCAGGATTTTAATCCATGACATGGATTGTCCTGTTGTCCTGTAGCCCATCCCAGCCTTGTGCAGGTCTACAATTTTATCCCTGATGTCCTTACACAGCTATCTGGTCTTGGCCATTGTGGAGAGGTTGGAGTCTGTTTGATTGAGTGTGTGGACAGGTGTCTTTTATACAGGTAACGAGTTCAAACAGGTGCAGTTAATACAGGTAATGAGTGGAGAACAGGAGGGCTTCTTAAAGAAAAACTAACAGGTCTGTGAGAGCCGGAATTCTTACTGGTTGGTAGGTGATCAAATACTTATGTCATGCAATAAAATGCAAATTAATTACTTAAAAATCATACAATGTGATTTTCTGGATTTTTGTTTTAGATTCCGTCTCTCACAGTTGAAGTGTACCTATGATAAAAATTACAGACCTCTACATGCTTTGTAAGTAGGAAAACCTGCAAAATCGGCAGTGTATCAAATACTTGTTCTCCCTACTGTACATAAGATCATATAGAAATGTAAACAAGGTTTGAAATTAAAGTTTTAGTCAGGCTTCTTTCGGTCATTTTGCAGTGTACTAATTATTTGTAATTATGTTCCGGCCCCCCGACCATCCGCTCAAGAAAAAACATCAGCCCGCAGCTGAATCTAATTGATGATCCCTGGTCTAGGCGGTCGGGCATAGGCAAGGACTCAAAGGCACAGGAGCCAGGTGCAAACAAAGGGGCTTTTAGTAAGAAAAGGCTAATTAAATCCTGGCTCTTAGACTTTACATTTAGGGGGGGAAAGCATGACGTCCACAGGCCTAACCTATAGCGCAAACCGTAAAAGTCTCGGACATTCCGCTCTACCCAGCAGTGAGAGCTGCACACCTTTATGTCTTTAGGCAGTCAATTAGAGGGAAGCCACACCCTCGTAAAGGGAACAATGCTCTGGAGCTTGTTCCCCTAGACAACATTCCTCGTGCTGGCTAGGCTTGGCCCTGCTGCACTACACCCACCATTGAGTATTTACCCCCCCCCCCCCCCCCCACCCCCCCATATCTTACACCTGTAGCTCAAAGTACCCACAGCCGTACCAGGAGTGACACAACATTTCCGCAAGCTGCTTCTGAACCGAGTCAAGACAGACTTTGAGAACATGGGGAGGGACAATCATGAAATCTTGCAGAAGGAGATGGACACCATCACCAAGGTAGCACGTTCATCTCTTTAGACACACTGCCCATTACATTATAGAACAACACTTTGAGAAATTCTGATCTGATCTAAATTATATTCATTCCTCTGCATTTTACTGATTATTTAATGCATTGTTGATCATGTGCCCTAAACTTGCATGGTGTTCTTCCCCTGAATTGGTCATTGGAAAAACGTTTTCTTATCTAACTAGTCACAAATTGTATAGTTTAATTTGTTTACTGATTCCTTCCAGGAGGAGGACCGCCAGAAACTGAGGGAAGAGCTGGAGGAGGTCAAGGCCAAGGGGCGGAGGCAGTCTCTAGGCAACATCCAGTTCATGTGTGAGTTGTACAGGTTGAAGATGATTACGGAGGCCATCATGCACGATGCCATCGTAAAGCTGCTGAAAAACCACGACAAGGATTCAATGGAGTGTTTGTGCACCTTACTCTCCACCATCGGCAAGGAATTGGACTTTGAGGAGGCCAGGGTACAGCATTGTCTCTCTGTCTGTCCGTCCTCCCGTCTGTCTGTTTAATTTTTATTTTATTTGTTTTTTTTTAATCCATGACATCAAAATCAGTGGCATTGCACGAGTACAGTGCACACCTTTTTCTTATCCAAAATTATCTGATAGGTTAATCCAATAGATTCAAATCTATAAATCAGTCAAAAGCATTCACTTGGACTGTCTACACTTCCACAGCCCAGAATGGATCAGTACTAGAACCAGATTGAGAAGATCTTGACGAATAGGACAACCTCCCCCAGAATCACAAGCATGCTGCAAGATGTGTTGGATCTCCGAAAGGTATGACCAGTTATTCTTATTACCTCTTTTAACATCCATATCTAACCTCTTCTACCTCTTAACATCCATATCTAACCTCTTCTACCTCTTAACATCCATATCTAACCTCTTCTACCTCTTAACATCCATATCTAACCTCTTCTACCTCTTAACATCCATATCTAACCTCTTCTACCTCTTAACATCCATATCTAACCTCTTCTACCTCTTAACATCCATATCTAACCTTTTGGTTGTCTCTTTTTTTGCTCTATGCTCTAAAGCCGTAGTATGTAGTTTATATGCGTCAATTGTATGAATGACTGTTCTGTAAATTCTATAATATTTATTTTATTTAATATTAGTGATGTCATGTTTTGTGTGTGGTGGGGGGGTGTATGCCTTTTCTCTCTAGACAGAAATAACCCAGCTTGCTGAAAAGATGGAGAAGACCAGACTGCAAGCTGACGATTACACTGGACCTGTAGACACTGAATCTTTTCTGCGTCCTCACTATAAGTCATCAGCCATGAAGAAACAGGAGCTGGTCAGCATATCTACACCACTACAGGAGAATGTATGTCCTCATCATGATGATAAACTGAAAGCTGAAGACCATGAGACAGACTCTGCAGGAGGGGCTGCAGCAGGGAGGGCTACCAAAAAGGTATTAATGGAATACCATTATAAGCTAAGGATAAGAGGTACATAGAAATGTTGCAGGCTTTACCCATCAGCTTGTGTAGACCAAGACATATTTCAACCTGAATCAAGATCATGCTGATGTGTGTATCACAAAGGGATATGTTTTGATCCACTGTGTGATGCCAATTACAACTGTCTATGTTTGTCTACACAAAAAGGCGAGTGTGCCCTTAAAAACATGCCAGCAGATAATCCAGGAGAGAGAGGAGGAGCTACAGAAACTGAGACAGGAAGTGGAGTCTCTGAAGGTGAGACATCAGGGGTGTATTCATTAGTCGGATTCCATTGCAAAATGTTTAGTCTGCAACGAAAACAAGAGTTTCTATTGGACAAAATTCAGGACCGCCGGAAAACGTGTGACAAGACAGGATTTGCCGCAGCACTTTTCAATCAGGTGTGTCTTTTTAATTAGTTTAGTAAAACATACTGAAGCAAAGCGTTTCTTTCGATTTGCCTTGTGATTTGTCAACTCACGCACAATTTCTCTGTCCTCCACATCGGAGTGCTGCTGCAGGCTCTTTGCATGTCTTGACCAATCAGATTCACAGAAATCGCAGGTCGCGCAGACCGGGCACAACACAAAAAGCTCAAGGCGCGCTCTCCACTTTCCTCTGGTATTTATTTAGCAACCTGATAACACATCACTCCCGAAAGACACAAGCAAAAACTCTTACATAAGTGTGGCAGCCTATACACTTAAACATTAGCGATCTGACATGCTGTATTGTATGGAAACGAGACAATTTTTCAGTCTGATCAACTAAGCTACTAACAACAGCAGCTGCGTAGTCTAACCTATTATGTGCCCTGTCCCTCTGGCCAGGGTAAACAAATCAGTAAAGTTGTGTATTTATTGCCCATTTGTTTGTGAGAATGTGAATGGGATCAGATTTGGTTTATATTCAAACTTGCGCTGTCTACGCTACCTAGAATTATTCAATGCAAAATTATTAACTGTAATTAATCAATAAACACAATAGCTGACAGACTGAGTTCATTTTTAATTAGGCCTACAGTTGCATAGAGCAGGACTATATGATGCAAACATGTGTAAAGCAAGCTCAGCCCTGTGAGTTATATATGTTGCTTACTCTGTGTATAGGAAACCCCCCTAGTCCTTCTTTATAAAATATAAACTACAAGGTTGCTACAGTTTGACAGGGTTTTCATCCTCCCAAAGGCCAGGAGTTTTTCCAGAAGTTTTTTAAAACCATGTGTCCTGATTAGAAAAACTCTGGTCCCATCATAGCCCATATTAAACCTTTTTACAACAGATGAATCACGTCATACTGTATAAGGTCCGGCGTTTTACCTGGTTAGGTTACCAGATCAGGAAAAACTGTGGTGCCACCTCTGGGACAAATCCATGTACAGTTCCAGTCAAATGTTTGGGCACACCTACTCATTCCAGGGATTTTCTTTATTTTTACTATTTTCTACATTGTAGAAAAATAGTGAAGACATCAAAACTATGAAATAACACATTTGGAATCATGTAGTAACCCAAAAAGTTTTAAACAAATAATAATATATTTGAGATTTGAGATTCTATAAAGTAGCCACCCTTTGCCTTGATGACAGCTTTGCACACTCTTGGCATTATCTCAACCAGCTTCATGAGGTAGTCACCTGGAATGCATTTCAATTAACAGGTGTGCCTTCTTAAAAGTTAATTTGTGGAATTTTTCTTTCCTTCTTAATGCGTTTGAGCCAATCAGTTGTGTTGTGACAAGGTAGGGGGGGTATACAGAAGACAGCCCTATTTGGTAAAAGACCAAGTCCATATTATGTCAAGAACAGCTTAAATAAGCAAAGAGAAACGACAGTCCATCATTACTTTAAGACATGAAGGTCAGTCAATCTGGAAAATTTCAAGAACTTTGAAAGTTTCTTCAAGTGCAGTCTCAAAAACCATCAAGCGCTATGATGAAACTGGCTCTCATGAGGACCGGCACAGGAAAGGAAGACCCAAAGTTACCTCTGCTGTAGAGGATAAGTTCATTAGAGTTAAATGCACCTCAGATTGGAGCCCAAATAAATGCTTCAGAGTTTAAGTAACAGACACATCTTAGCATCAACTGTTCAGAGGAGACTGTGTGAATCAGGCCTTCATGGTTGAATTACTGCAAAGAAACAACTACTAAAGGACACCAATAGGAAGAAGAGACTTGCTTGGGCCAAGAAACCAGTGGACATCTGTCCTTTGGTCTGATGAGTCCAAATTTAAGATTTGTGGTTCCAACCGTAGGTGAACGAATGATCTCCGCAAGTGTGTTTCCCACCGTGAAGCATGGAGGAGGAGGAGGTGTGATGGTGTGGGGTTGCTTTTTGTTGGTGACACTGTCAGTGATTTATTTAGAATTCAAGGCACACTTAACCAGCATGGCTACCACCGCATTCTGCAGCGATATGCCATCCCATCTGGTTTGGGCTTAGTGGGACTATCATTTCTTTTTCAACAGGACAATGACCCAAAACACACCTCCAGGCTGTGTAAGGGCTATTTGACCAAGGAGAGTAATGGAGTGCTGCATCAGATGACCTGGCCTCCACAATCACCCAATCTCAACCCAATTGAGATGGTTTGGGATGAGTTAGACCGCAGAGTGAAGGAAAAACAGCCAACAAGTGCTCAGCATATGTGGGAACTCCTTCAAGACTGTTGAAAAAGCATTCCACATGAAGCTGATTGAGAGAATGCCAAGAGTGTTCAAAGCTGTCATCAAGGCAAAGTGTGGCTACTTTGAAGAATGTCAAATATATAAAATATATTTTGATTTGTTTAACACTTTTTTTGGTTACTACTGGATTCCATATGTGTTATTTCATAGTTTTGATGTCTTCACTATTATTCTACAATGTAGAAAATAGTAAAAATAAAAACCCTTGAATGAGTAGGTGTGTCCAAACTTTTGACTGGTACTGTAGGTCTTTCCCTGTGTGGTTCCATTTTATTTGGTTCCTAGAGTAAACGGTTTCCATTGCAAAACCTTTTGCAATGGAATCCGATTAATGAATACACACCAGTTGACTAATGAGCTGTTTTAGGCCTCATCTATGGGTGAATCTCTTTTTTTGTGGTTGCTTGATTCCTCTCTCCTCACCTCCTTCTCAAAATGTATTGGTGGAGAAGATCTGCGGTTCCTCCCCTCGGACCTTCTCCTCCAATGAGGAATCAAGCAAATACAATTTATATTAATCCCATGCTCCTTTATTCTCCACCGTTCTCCCAAAGTGTGCAGTTGCACACTCCCCGTCATGGATTTAACAATGATGGATTTAACTCCCTCTAGCCAATGCAGTTCATTTCTTATAATCATGACAGGGAGTGTGCAAGTCCATACTTTGGGAGAAGTGAGGCGTGACATAGCAGATGCTTACCTAACTTTCTGAGACAAACCCCTCGAAACGGATGACTCTCTCTCTCTCTTCTGACAGTGTTTATCTCAGGCTACACTGGAGGACGGTGAGAGGTTCTTCACCAAATTGATTGAAACAAGGTGCTCAGAGGTGAGAGAGCGGATCCAAGCAAAAGAGAAGGAGATGGTGCGTGAGGCTGAGGGACTCATACAGACGCTTGAGCAGGAGCTTGATGAGCTGAAGAGGACTGAAACAGAGGGTAGGCAGCTTCCACACATAGAGGACTTCCCCCATTTCCTCCAGGTAAGATCAATGGCTCTCTAATAGTGTTACAAGTGTTCAGAAGACAGATTAAACACTGATATTAAGAAGTGAACATGTTTGAACCAAAAGCAATTACCTTTCTGTATTGGTAGTCATACATATCATTCTATACATAAGTATTCACCCCCTTGGATTATTTTGTAGTTTATTTTCATATATGTATATGGGTGATTCTACAGAAGTGGCGTAAATTACAGTCCCACCCCCAAAAAGCGATACAAAAATAAATAGAAATAAGTTAAGTCTTCAAACTTGGGACATTTATTTACATAATGATATGTTCTAATACAATTCAAGGCATTAACAAACATATATTGTTAAATGAATATTGTACAAAGTTATTATTTATACACCTATTTATACCGAGGTGGCTGTCCCAAACCCTGACTCCTAAACTTCAAGTTAGAAAATTAAGCAATTCATGTTTAGTTTTTTCACTATTATTTCAAAAGAACATCTTGCTTTGTTCTATTTTTTTTATATCTTTCTCTAAAAAATGCTGTCACCTTTTGATGTCACTACCGAAACACACATATTAAAAGACTGTAGAATGAATGTGCTTTAAGTCACACCCCTACAAATATCACCAGGTGATGGGATCACAATCCTCTCCAGCATGACCACATGGTGAGTTGTCTGTCTCCAAACATTGTGGAAAAAATGAGTGAGCAAGTTGGTAAATCTTCATGTATTTTTAAGAAGTGTCACTACCAAACATCCTAACATATCAAGAAATATGTATGGTTTTGGGACTAAAATATAAAGTATGTTTGCTGGGATCTGTCCAAATGAAAGATGGCCAGCCATATGTTGACTATGGGGATTCTTTAAAGGCCAAAATAAGTTGAAAGTGTTCAAAATGAAACAATTAACACTGTGTGTGTGTGTGTGAATTGTTTCATTGTGGACACTTTTGACATATATATATATATATATATATATATATATATATATATATATATATATATATATATATATATATATATGTGTGTGTGTGCAAACTTCAGGAGAAAGTGTAAAGTATTGAGATTCATAGCCAGCAGGGGGGCTCCAACCCTCCAAGATCCCAAACATTGACATCTAATTGGCCAAAACATGGATGTCTATAATGTGCTATACTGTACTGTATTCTACAGTAGTGTGCTCTACTTAAGTGATAATGCCCGAGAAGCTAGTGTTGGAGGACATATTGGCACGGGTGTTGTTAGTCGAGGGCCGGCAAACCGTGCAAATATATCCTCCGAACACCGGCTTCGAGGGGATTATCACTTTTATACAACGGGTTACCAACATATTCAAATAATGTATTCAAATAATGATTGACATGTTTTCATTAAAAACGTTATTTTGATAAATGTATTCATACTATTTAATCCTTCCACAAGATATAGTTCCGACACAAATCTAGGGTTGCTAGAGACATGACCCAGTTGTTCAGTCTTTTTGTTCCTTTGCCATACTGGCTGGCAACGTTCTTATCCCTTGCTTGCTAGCTAGCCAACTACGGCTCATTTACAGTCACGTCAAAAAGTTCAGCCAGAATAACAGCAAAGTAGCTGCATTTGCATTTGTTTAAGCTGTTTTCTAGTTACATTTATTTGGATACATCCATAACAATGACCTAATGGGGCGCGATTTCGCCTGGAATAGAAAATGAGCTCACTCATCAGGACACTGTTGTTCAGAGGAGCTAGCCAACAACTCAGCTACAGTAACACAATCACTTCAAACTGAAGCTGGAAAGACTGCAAATTAGCTGCGTTTCGTTTTTACCTTTTTTCAATTGATATTTTTTTTGTATATATCCATAAAAATGATGCCAGCTGATTCATGATTTCGACCAGCTGAGAAACGCTGCCTGCCTGTCTGTCTGTCTGTCTCGTCCCGACTCCTGACACGTTCATTACTATGGGACAGCAGGAGATCGAATTGGAATATTGTTACAATGTTGCAAATGTCGGAGAGACAGACAGCAAGGTTTATACAAATCTCCACTGTTGAAAACTAAATGTTAGTCTAAAAGAAATGTGAGATAATGTCTAGATGCTTTTTATAGTGGAGATCAAGTTTATAAGTTGCCTGGCTGGCCTGATGAGACAGTGGATTGCGCAGTCAGATGGAACAGAGTAAATAGGCATTTTAACGTCATAGATTTAGCCCGTGGCAACTTGTGGAATAGACACTGGCTGGAATGCGGTTTTAACCAATCAGCATTCAGGATTAGACCCACCCGTTGTATAATGTACCCTAATCTACTGTACTATGCTCTACTATACTGTGCTATACTGTACTCAAGTTTAAAAGTTGACTTGAGTTTCTTACAATTGAAGAAAGGGCCCATGGACTCTTGATCTAGTGGTCTTAAGACCACTCAAGACCACAAATTCGGTCTTTAAAGAGCGACTGCCTCTAAAAAGAATCTTCGCGTTTTGAAAATGGCGTTTGTAGCATCGATATGAGCAGTACTAACTGGCTGAGTAGTAGTGCGGGTGGATTTCTTTCAAATTTCAACAGACATGCATCACATTTAGTAGCCTGGTATAACCAGCATGATAATAGCTATTTTCCAATTCAATTGATTTCTCTAAACTCTGAATAGAATAGGAATGGAGTTATAGGCCTACTCAGGCTGGTTAGGCATGTTATTGCAATAGGCCTACCATAGGCTATAGGCCTAAAAAGGACTGAAGACAGAATCAGATCATTTGGTTCCATTTCAACATATTTATTAGTGAAACCAAAGTGCTGTCACATCCATAAATTAAAATCACCAAATATACTAGTAAACGGCAAAACTTTTCAAATGTTAACATCAAAAGACTGTTGCACAGAAAAACATGGACAGTCAGGTGCAGCGTAAATTCAGAAAGTGGACTGCTGGATAGTGACATAATAAACTAAAGCACTGATCATTGGGAACAAGATCAGAATGACTACTTAGGAAAAGAAGGCTTGATCCAAAATAGGAAGCCTACAAAACCCCAAAATTCAAAATGTTAAACTCAAAAGGCCTGACCTGTCACGATCGTCGTAATGAGCGGACCAAGGCGCAGCGTGATATGCGTACATCTTTTAATGAGTACTTTAACACAATACAACAAAACGAAACGTGAAGTCCTCGGTCATAAACACAAACCTAGACGGAACAAGATCCCACAAAAGACAAGTGCACAATAGGCTGCCTAAGTATTGTTCCCAATCAGAGACAACGAGCCACAGCTGTCTCTAATTGGGAACCACCCCGGCCAACATAGAAACACATAAACTAGAACAAGAACATAAAAACGAAACATAGAACCTAACACCCAGAAACTAACACATAGAAACTAACACCCTGGCTCAACATATAAAAGTCCCCAGAGCCAGGGCGTGACAGTACCCCCCCCCCCCCCAAAGGCGCAGACTGCGACCGCGCCAACTAAACCCAACAGGGGAGGGGCCGGGTGGGCATTCCGCCTCGGAGGCGGATCCGGCTCCGGGCGTGACCACCACCCTCTAACTAACCCCCCGTAGCGCCCCTGGTCTGGTCCCGCTGGCTGGAGCTGGACTGGACATCGGTGGAGCGGATTGCTTAGGCTCTGGTGTGGAGCAGCTGACCGGTACCTGACCAGGCACCGGTGAAACAGGCATGGGCTGTGCCGGACTGACGACGCGCACCACAGGCTTGGTGCGGGGAGCAGGAATGGGCCGGACCGCGCTGACGACGCGCACCACTGGCTTGGTGCGGGGGAAAGGAACGGGCCGGACCGGGCTGACGACGCGCACCACTGGCTTGGTGCGGGGAACAGGAACGGGCCGGACCGGGCTGGCGACGCGCACCACTGGCTTGGTGCGAGGGGCAGGAACAGGCCGGGCCGGGCTGGCGACGCGCACCACTAACTTAGTGCGGGGAGCAGGAACGGGTTAGGCCGTACTGGTAACACGCACCACTAACTTAGTGCGGGGAGCAGGAACGGGTTGGGCCGTACTGGGAACACGCACCACTAACTTAGTGCGGGGAGCAGGAACGGGTCGGGCCGGACTGGGAACACGCACCACTAACTTAGTGCAGGGAGCAGGAACGGGTTGGGCCGTACTGGGAACACGCACCACTAAATTAGTGCGGGGAGCAGGAACGGGCCTGACCGTACTGGGAACACACACCACTGGCCTTGTGCGGGAAGCAGGAATGGGTCGGGCCGTACTGGGAACACGCACCACTAACTTAGTGCGGGGATCAGGAACGGGCCGGACCGGACTGGTGACACACACCACTTGCTTGGTGCGAGGAGCGGGACTGGGTTTCCTCATAAACCTCCGCTCCCTCTGCTGCCTACTCAGTTCCTCTCGCCGTGCCTCTACACTCTCCTTCTCCCTCAACGCCTCCTGTAGCTCCTCCCTCTGACCATTTAACTCCTGCTCCCTTATGACCAATAGCCCCCGTAACCTGGTGGCCTCCTCTCCTATTCTGCAGATACGCCCTGTAGCTGCCTCCTGCTGCCCCGTCGTCCACACCGTGTGCCCCCCCCAAAAAATGTCTTGGGGTTGCCTCTCGCCTGTCCGACGACGGCCCGGTTGGCGCCGCTTCTCCTCTCCTGCCTGGGCATCCTCCCTCATCGCCCTCCGGTAGCGGACGGCCTCCTCCTCTGTGATTTTCCCCCAACCGAGGAGGACATCTACCAGAGGCACCTCATGTTCCATACCCGGCGTTTGCTCCTGAACACGCTGCTTGGTCCTGTTTTGGTTGGATCTTCTGTCACGATATGCGTAATGAGCGGACCAAGGCGCAGCGTGATATGCGTACATCTTATATTTATTAACTAGTACACACGAACAAAACAACAAAACGATACGTGAAGTCCAAGGTTAAACACCAAAAAACAAACCTAACACGGAACAAGATCCCACCAAAGACAAGTGCACAATAGGCTGCCTAAGTATGGTTCCCAATCAGAGACAACGAGCCACAGCTGTCTCTAATTGGGAACCACCCCGGCCAACATAGAAACACATAAACTAGAACAAGAACATAAAAACGAAACATAGAACCTAACACCCAGAAACTAACACATAGAAACTAACACCCTGGCTCAACATATAAAAGTCCCCAGAGCCAGGGCGTGACATGACCGGATTAACACGACATCATATCCCATATCCCAGAGTGCTCGACACAATTAAAAATGATTAGGCTATACAATTTAACGCAATCCCGACCATAAAGACAATAGCCTATTGCAGGGAAAAGCTTAACTATTATGCCATGCCCGTTGAATAACCAAAAAATAGGCCACCTAATTAAATGTTCTCCATAGTCAAAAAAATAATAAAACAATCGGGACAAATAAACATTAACGTTTTTAATTTAATGATTGATAATTATTTAGATTGTCTTTTCACAGCAAAAACCAAGCCATGAGGTCGAAGGAATTGTCCTTAGAGATCCGAGACAGGATTGTGTCGAGGCACAGATCTGGGGAAGGGTACCCAAACATTTCTGCAGCATTGAAGGTCCCCGGGAACACAGTGCCCTCCATCATTCTTAAATGGAAGAAGTTTGGAACCACCAAGACTCTTCCTAGAGCTGGCCGCCTGGCCAAGCTGAGCAATCGGGGGAGAAGGGCCTTGGTCAGGGAGGTGACCAAGAACCCGATGGTAACTCTGACAGAGCTCCAGAGTAGAGATGTCCTTCTGGAAGATTCTCTCAACCATCTCTGCAGCTCTCCACCAATCAGGCCTTTATGGTAGAGTGGCCAGACGGAAGCCACTCCTCAGTAAAAGGCACATGACAGCCCGCTTGGAGTTTGCCAAAAGGCACCTAAAGACTCTCAGACCATGAGAAACAAGATTATCTGGTCTGATGAAACCAAGATTGAAATCTTTGGCCTGAATGCCAAGCGTCACATCTTGCGGAAACCTGGCACCATCCCTACAGTGAAGCATGGTGGTGGCAGCATCATGCTGTGGGGATATTTTTCAGCGGCAGGGACTGGGAGACTAGTCTGGATCGAAGGGAAATATGAACGGAGCAAAGTACAGAGAGATCCTTGATGAAACCTGACAACCTGACAACGCAAGAGTGGCTTCGGTACAAGTCTCTGAGTGGCCCAGCCAGAGCCCGGACTTGAAGCCGATCGAACATTTCTGGAAAGACCTGAAAATAGCTGTGCAGCGACACTCCCCATCCAACCTGACAGAGCTTGAGAGGATCTGCAGAGAAGAATGGGAGAAACTCCCCAATACAGGTGTGCCAAGCTTGTAGCGTCATACACAAGAAGACTCAAGGCTGTAATCACTGCCAAAGGTGCTTCAATAAAGTACTGAGTAAAGGGTCTGAATACTTACGTAAATGTTATATTTCATATATGTATTTTGAATAAATTTGCAAACATTTCTAAACCTGTTTTTGCTTTGATATTATGAGGTATTGTGTTTAGATTGAGCGGGGGGATAAAAAACTATTTAATACATTTTAAAAGAAGGCTGTAATGTAACAAAGTGGAAAAAGTGAAGGTGTCTGATTTTATTTTCCAAATGCACTGTATATCTGCTTGAAAATCTATGGCAAGACTTGAAAATGGCTGTCCAGCACTGATCAACAACTAACTTTACAGAGCTTGAAGAATTGTCAAAGGAATACCCTGTGGAAGTGACACGTCATTTTCCAGGAAGTAGATTTGTAGTTTTTGAACTTTTATGGCTTTTTTATGGTTTTCAATGGGGAAAATACTTAGCACAATGGTCTTATGCGCAAAAACTTAATAAAAGGCATCTGGCAGAAATAAATTCATCCACAAACACATTCCTAATTTTGAGTTGCACCCACTTTTTCCCTCAGTTCTTGACACAAACCGGTGCGCCTGGCACCTACTACCGTACCCCATTCAAAGGCACTTAAATGTTTTGTCTTGCCCATTCACCCTCTGAATGGCACACCTACACAATCCATGTCTCAATTGTCTCGAGGCTTAAAAATCCTTCTTCAACCTGTCTCCTCCCCTTCATCTACACTGATTGATAGGGATTTAACAGGTAACATTAATAAGCTTTAACCTGGAATCACCTGGTCAGTCCATGTCATGGAAAGAACAGGTGCTCCTAATGTTTTGTACACTCAGTGTATATCTTAAATCACTACTTTTTCGTGAATTGATATGATGATGATGATGTAATCGTCAAGCCCATTCAAAAGATTAGTGGACAGCACCCTTCCGATTAGGGGACAGCACCCTTATGACGTAGGACGACGTCACTTGCACATCTTATAATGAGAAAATATTGCACAATCGAGCTGTGCAAAGCTCTTAGAGAATTACCAAGAAAGACTCCCAGCTGTAACTGCTACCAAAGTGTGTGTGGGGGGGTGTTTGTTGTTGAAATGTTTAGAATTGTTCTTCTACTATGGAACGTCATTTACAAAGTGACAATTTATATCAATTTTACCCTCACTTTGAATCACAAATGGTGAATACTTATGATGGGCACTTTGGTGTCACTATAACTATTTATATGGACACCTGTTGGTTTGTCTTTTACCATTTCGTCAGTGTATTTACTGTCTTTCGGAATTGGATTTGTACGGTTTTTGATTTCCTGAATGTTTATTTTTCTGTCTGTAGAAATTGCCCAGCATCACAGAGGCTTTTGGAGAAGTGAAGAGGATGTATGCCACTAAAATGCAAAAGCTATTTGAGAATACCTCCAAGAGACAATTTAAGACGTTTTATGCAATAGGTACTCATTAAGGATTATAGCCGGACTATTTGTTTTAGCATATGCCAGATTCCTTCAGACATTTATTTTAGTAATTCTTTTTTACAGTTGAAGACATGCTGGAACCATACAGTAAGCATTACCATTACAGCACAATTGGCCCGAGGTAAAGTATCTCAGTGGTTGTCGCCCGCCACTTTTTGGGGTCAACAGCTGTGGAATGGAGCTGGAGAAATGTAACCACTCTCAAACTCTTAGCCGGAGCTATGGATGACGAGGACTGACCATCCATGATCAATATTATAGTTTTTAAACATTTTTTGAAGCTATGTGTTTATTATGACATTATTTATTCTCTCTCTCTCTGTTTCTCTCTCTTTCTTTCTTTCTCTCTTTCTCTGTTTCTCTCTCTCTCTCTCAGCCATCACTTCTCTTGACAGACAGGCAGTGGAAGAAAAGGACTTGGTAAGATCTGTATGTATACGTGTGTTTAGTAATAATCTCCTGGTTGTATGTTGTTGGCTTACTTCCTCACCTGCCCCCTAACTTATGACTTGAAGGAGGACGTTGTGGACCTAGATACAGTGAAGACCGAGGAAATGTATGCACAAATGGATGACATCCTGGACAGGCTGACTCCTAAGAACTACCATCAGTCGATGAAGGTAGTGAGTGCATTCACCATTGACACAGAGGACAAACTCAAGGGCTTTATTGACCGTATATATGAGAAGGCCATCGAATACCCTACCTACGCTGACGTCTATGCCAAGGTGTGCCATCATCACCAACTCATGGGGGTAAGTCTACATGTTAAAGTTTGTCTATTTCTCACCATCTCAATCCCAGAGGTAATCCCATATTTTTGTAAAAAATGACAATTCTCATAATTTTTTTGTATTTTCTTTTTCTTGTCGGTCTGTCGCTCTCGCTCTCTCGCTTGTTCTCTCTATGACCCAATAACTACAACCCATCAACCTCCAATGAGTTTTTCCTCCCACATATCCTGCCTTTCAGCTTAAAGTACCCGGCGTAACAGTAAATTTCCGCAAGCTGCTGCTGAACCGATGCCAGAAGGGCTTTGAGAAAAAGAATAGTAATGTCTTAAAGGAAAAGCAGAGGGAACTGGACGCCATCACTGAGGTAGACCAACACAGACCAACATTTTATCTCTGAGATGTTAAAATTACTTGAACTTGATCTATACTGAACAAAAATATATATGCAGCATGCAACAATTTCAAAGATTTTACTGAGTTACAGTTCATATAAGGAATTCAGTCAATTGAAATAAATAAATTAAGCCCAAATCTATGGATTCCACATGACTGGGAATACTATACCTTACTGGTCACAGATACCTTTAAAAAAAAAGTATGGGCATGGATCAGAAAACCAGTCAGTATCTGGTGTGACCACCATTTGCCTCATGCAGCGCGACACATCTCCTTCGCATAGAGTTGATCAGGCTGTTGATTGTGGCCTGTGGAAGGTTGTCCCACTCCTCTTCAATGGCTCTGCGAAGTTGCTGGATAGTCGCGTGAACAGGAACATGCTGTCGTACACGTCGATGCAGAGCATCCCAAACATGCTCAGTGGGTGACATGTCTGAGTATGCAGGCCATGGAAGAACTGGGACATTTTCAGCTTCCAGGAATTGTGTACAGATCCTTGCGACATGGGGGTGTGCATTATCATGCTGAAACATGAGGTGATGGCGGTGGATGAATGGCACGACAATGGTCCTCAGGATCTCGTCAAGGTATCTCTTTGCATTCAAATTGCCATCAATAAAATGCAATTGTGTTCTTTGTCCTTAGCTTATGCCTGCTCATACCATAACCCCACCGCCACCATGGGGCACTCTGTTCACAGCGTGACATCAGCAAACCTCTCACCCACACAACGCCATACACGTGGTTTGCGGTTGTGAGGCCAGTGGGACATACTGCCAAATTCTTTCAAACGATGGCTTATGGTGGAGAAATTAACATTACATTTTCTGGCAACAGCTCTGGTGGACATTCCTGCAGTCAGCATGCCAATTGTACACTCCCTCAACTTGAGACATCTGTGGCATTGTGTTATTCTGTGGCATTGTGACATTTTAGAGTGTCCTTTTATTGTCCCCAGCACAAGGTGCACCTATGTGATGATCATGCTGTTTAATCAGCTTCTTGATATTCCAAGCCGTTCAGGTGGATGGATTATTTTTAACAGGGATGTAAACAAATTTGTGCACAACATTTGACATAAGCTTTTTGTGCATATAGAACATTTCTGGGATCTTTTATTTCAGCTCATGAAATATGGGACCAAAACTTTACATGTTGCATTTTATATTTTTGTTCAGTATACATTACATGAACATAATTTATCCTCATGATGCCTTATGCTTTCTAAACAATTGTAATTGATTAAAGGGATAGTTTGGGGAAGTAGGGCTTCATTGCCAAAATCCCAGAGTCAGATGAACTTGTGGATACCATTTCTATGTCTCTGTGTTCAGTTTGAAGGAAGTTGCTAAGTAGCTAGTTAGAATTGGCTTGTGAAACTACCTCTAACTTCCTTCATACTGGATGCAGAGACATACAAATGGTATCCACAAGCTCATCTGAATCTGGGGAAGTAGATAGGGGGCTTCATGACCACAATCCTGAACTGTCCCTTTTGGTTGCACAGCTGTTAACTTTACATTGAGGTATTTATTCCCTTCAACTGATTATTGTAACGCTTGTAACAACTCACTAACTTGTACCTTGTTTAGTCCGATGCAATTTTGATTAGTTCAAGGCAGGCTCACCAAATGTCCCTGATTCCTTCCAGAAGAAGGACCGACAGCAACTGAGGGAGGAGCTGGAGGAGGCCAAGGGGCAGCGGGAGTTGTTAGGCAACATCAAGTTCATGTGCGAGTTGTTCAAGTTAAAGATGATTACGGAGGCCATCATGCACAACTGCATTGTAAAGCTACTAAAGAATGGTGATGATGGCTCACTGGAAGGTCTGTGCACATTACTCTTCACCATCGGCAAGGACTTAGAGGAGGACTTAGAGGAGGATTCTCAGGAGGCCGAGGTGCAACTACATGTCGTCTGTCTCTGTCTGTTTGTCTTTCTGATTTATCAATGTGATCACTAATAGCCAGTCTATACTTCCACAGACCAGAATGGATCAGTACTACAGGCAGATTGGGGTGATCGTTAAGAGAAAGAGGACATCCCCCAGAATCCACTACATGCTGTGTGATGCGGTGGACCTCAGAGGGGTATGACACATATTAATGTCAATTGACCTTCAACTGCTGTTTTTGGTTGTCTCTTTGTGTCTCTGTCTGTCTCAGATATCCTTTAATCTTATAGGACTGATATTAGATTGTTTATATTATATTGTCATTTTTGTTAATGTCTGATGTAATGTTTTACACTCTTTCTCTCTCTAGCTCAATTTGGAGAAAAAGAGAGACAATTGAAGCCAAGAACCAGATGTTTTCTATGATGTTATATGATGTTCAATGATGTCCCGTGTAGAGCATTGCGCTTGCAACGCCAGGGTTGTGGGTTCGATTCCCAAGGGGGACCAGTATAAAAATGTATGGAGTCAATACTGTAAGTCGCTCTGGATAAGAGCGTCTTCTAAATTACTTAATTGTCTAATTTGATCGGCGTGTGTGTTTTAACATTTACAATTATATTGATGGTTCATAATAAATCCTGTTGTTTTTTTCCCCCTGCAAATTTCTGTCCACTTTATTTGTTTAATAATATGTAAATATAGTGAGAGACTGGAGTTGAGTTGATGTGATGTGATTGAAGGAGTGGTGTGGGAAACCCCACCGTAACTCACACAAATATCGACTGCTGATACCATCCACTGGCCACTAAGTGACACTGCACCCACAAACTATGGTAAGGGGCCTTCCCCAGAGTCCTTCCTCTGCCTTGTGTGTTGAGACTGTTGTAATGACAGAACAAGGAGTCATGCAGGGCTGCCATCCGTCTGTGTTTAGCTGGAAAAGGCTTGGTTTATTCACCTTAGCCCAGCTGTATGAGTTGGGAAAGGGCTGTGTCTTTCTTGGGAGACCAGCCCCTCAGGCTTAATAGTGGGCCCGGGAGGAGGGTGGATGTCCACAGTGCACAAACCCAGGACACTGCTACTGTCCAGGGAGAGAAATGGACACCACTCATACAGACATCCAGATGTTGTGGAGCTAACTCTGTTCATCATCAGATCAATGTTTGTGTCCCTCCATATGCAGTAGTAAGCACTAATTGGTCTTTGTTTTTTTTACTGTAAATGTTTATCGAATGTGTAGTTTCACATGACTACTGATTTATTGCCCATGTTATTGTTTCCTGTTGACTTATTCTAATCTGAGATTTGGTGTTGTGTTGGTGAGTTTGAACTGTACTTCATCAGCGATAAGAAAAGGGATAATGATGATTGGCTACTAACAAATGTGTAGGCCAATGATGATTGGCATATGCGTAAGTCATGAGCAAAGTAGAGTGTCTTAATCTGAGTGTGTGTGTGTGTGTGTGCTTGACAGACTGTCAATCTGCTGTAAACAACTGCAAGACCGCCACCTTCATTTCTCTACCATAAGCCGCCTCCAACGTCGTTTTAGAGAATTTGCCAGTACGTCCACCCGGCCTCACAACCGCAGACCACATGTATACACAAGACTTTGAGATCTGAATTATTGATCTGAAATGTCAACAGTGAAGAGGCGACTCCGGAATGTTGACCTTCTAGGCAGAGTCACAAAGAAAAAGCCAATAAAAAGAAAAGATTAAGATGGGCAGTCTGAGATATGGCTTTTTCTTTGCAACTCTGCCTAGAAGGTCAGCATCCCGGAGTCGCCTCTTCACTGTTGAGACTGGTGTTTTGCGGGTACTATTTAATGGAGGCGCCTGTTTCTCAAACTAGACACTAATGTATTTGTTCTCTTGCGCAGTTGTGCACTGGGGCCTCCCACTCCTCTTTCTATTCTGGTTAGAGCCAGTTTGCGCTGTTCTGTGAAGGGAGTAGTACACAGCGTTGTACGAGATCTTCAGTTTCTTGGCAATTTCTCGCATGGAATAGCCTTCATTTCTCAGAACAAGAGTAGACTGATGAGTTTCAGAAGAAAGTTATTTGTTTCTGGCCATTTTGAGCCTGTAATCGAACCAACAATTGCTGATGCTCCAGATACTCAACTAGGCCAGTTTTATTGCTTCTTTAATCAGCACAACAGTTTTCAGCTGTGCTAACATAATTGCAAAAGGGTTTTCTAATGATCAATTAGCCTTTTAAAATGATAAACTTGGATTAGCAAACACAACGTGTCATTGGAACACAGGACTGATGGTTGCTGATAATGGGCCTCTGTACGCCTTTGTATATATTCCATAAAAAATCAGCCGTTTCCAGCTACAATAGCCATTTACAACATTAACAATGTCTACACTGTATTTCTGATCGATTTGATATTATTTTAATGGCACATTTTTTTTGCTTTTCTTTAGAAAACAAGGTAATTTCTAAGTGACCCCAAACTTTTGAACGGTAGTGTACACTCACTCACTCTACACTCTTACACATTCACATACACTACATACCCACGCACACATAACACAAACATACACGCATACTGACACAACACAAACACTTTTGCACTCATCGTATGTTGCTGCTACTCTGTTCTTTAATAAGAGTAAAATAATGTCTATCCTGATGCCTAGTTACATACTGTATGTACATGAAGACAGGGTAAAGTAACTCAAATTCCTCGTACCCCTGCACATTGATATGGTATTGGTACTCCCTGCATATAGTATACATGTAGCTCGAGTCTTGTGTATTTTATTTCGTTTTACTATATATGTACACTACCAGTCAAAAGTTTTAGAACATCTACTCATTCAAGGGTTTTTCTTTATTTTTACTATTTTCTACATTGTAGAAAAACAGTGAAGACATCAAAACTATGAAATAACACATATGGAATTATGTAGTAACCAAAAAGGTGTTAAACAAATCAAAATATATTGAATTTTTGAGATTCTTCAAATAGCCACCCTTTGCCTTGATGGCAGCTTTGCACGATCTTGGCATTCTCTCAACCAGCTTCACCTGGAATGCATTTCCAACAGTCTTGAAAGAGTTCCTACATACAGTTGAAGTCGGAAGTTTACATACACCTTAGCCAAATACATTTAAACTCAGTTTTTCACAATTCCTGACATTTAATCCTAGTAAAAATTCCCTGTTTTAGGTCAGTTAGGATCACCACTTTATTTTAAGAATGTGAAATGTCAGAATAATAGTAGAGAGAATGATTTATTTCAGCTTTTATTTATTTCATCACATTCCCAGTGGGTCAGAAGTTTACATACACTCAATTAGTATTTGGTAGCATTGCCTTTAAATTGTTTAACTTGGGTCAAACATTTTGGGTAGCCTTCCACAAGCTTCCCACAATAAGTCGGGTGAATTTTGGCCCATTCCTCCTGACAGAGCTGGTGTAACTGAGTCAGGTTTGTAGGCCTCCTTGCTCGCACACGCTTTTTCAGTTCTGCCCACACATTTTCTATAGGATTGAGGTCAGGGCTTTGTGATGGCCACTCCAATACCTTGACTTTGTTGTCCTTAAGCCATTTTGCCACAACTTTGGAAGTATGCTTGGGGTCATTGTCCATTTGGAAGACCCATTTGCGACCAAGCTTTAACTTCCTGACTGACGTCTTGAGATGTTGCTTTAATATATCCACATAATTTTCCTTCCTCATGATGCCATCTATTTTGTGAAGTGCACCAGTCCCTGCTGCAGCAAAGCACCCCCACAGCATGATGCTGCCACCCCCGTGCTTCACGGTTGGGATGGTGTTCTTCGGCTTGCAAGCCACCACCTTTTTCCTCCAAACATAACGATGGTCATTATGGCCAAACAGTTCTATTTTTGTTTCATCAGACCAGTGGACATTTCTCCAAAAAGTACGATCTTTGTCCCCATGTGCAGTTGCAAACTGTAGTCTGGCTTTTTTATGGCAGTTTTGGAGCAGTGGCTTCTTCCTTGCTTAGCGGCCGTTCAGGTTATGTCGATTATAGGACTCGTTTTACTGTGGATATAGATACTTTTGTACCTGTTTCCTCCAGCATCTTCACAAGGTCCTTTGCTGTTGTTCTGGGATTGATTTGCACTTTTCGCTCCAAAGTACATTCATCTCTAGGAGACAGAACGTGTCTCCGTCCTGAGCGGTATGACTGCTGCGTGGTCCCATGGTGTTTATACTTGCATACTATTGTTTGTACAGATGAACGTGGTACCTTCAGGCATTTGGAAATTGCTCCCAATGATGAACCATACTTGTGGAGGTCTACCAGTTTTTTCTGAGGTCTTGGCTGATTTCTTTTGATTTTCCCATGATGTCAAGCAAAGAGGCACTGAGTTTGAAGGTAGGCCTTGAAATACATCCACAGTTACACCTCCAATTGACTCAAATGATGTCAATTAGCCTATCAGAAGCTTCAAAAGCCATGTAATTTATTTAGAATTCAAGGCACACTTAACCAGCATGGCTACCACCGCATTCTGCAGCGATAGTCCCACTAAGCCTAAACCAGATGGGATGGCATATCATTTGTTTTTCAACAGGACAATGACCCAAAACACACCTCCAGGCTGTGTAAGGGCTATTTGACCAAGGAGAGTGATGGAGTGCTGCATCAGATGACCTGGGCTCCACAATCCCCCGACCTCAACCAAATTGAGATGGTTTGGGATGAGTCGGACCGCAGAGTGAAGGAAAAGCAGCCAACAAGTGCTCAGCATATGTGGGAACTCCTTCAAGACAGTTGGAAAAGCATTACAGGTGAAGCTGGTTGAGAGACTTCCTTGATGACAGCTTTGCACCCTCTTGGCAAAGGGTGGCTATTTGAAGAATCTCAAATACAATATATTTTCATTTGTTTAACACTTTTTTGGTTACTACATGATTCCATATGTGTTATTTCAAAGTTTTGATGTCTTCACTATTATTCTACAATGTAGAAAATAGTAAAAATAATGAAAAACCCTGGAATGAGGATGTGTTCTAAAACTTTTGACCGGTAGTATATATATATATATATATATATTAGCTCTGCATCGTTGGGAAAGGCTCGAAAGGAACCATTTCACGGTAAAGTCTACACCCAATGTATTTGGTGCATGTGACAAATACAGTTTTATTTTGATTTGAAATCAACCTTTATTCTGAGATTTGATTTACATTGCAATAACAGAACAATCGGTGCAACACAGCTGTAAATTGACTATTGAATATTTTATTTAAATGTAATATTCACAGTAGAAATTGCAAACTAAACTGTCCCATTAATGGCACACATTCTCCTTCCGACATTTGTTTTTGCTGAAGTCAATTCATGCAGTGCTTAGTGGTGTAATCTTGTCCAGTGAGGAGTAATCATTGTAGCCTAGCTAGTCCTAAAACAGCCCCTACTCCCCCGCGCCTAGCCCCCTGATACTCAAATGTTGACCCAGGTGCCAAAATCGGATCGTGACAACCTTTTATGTGGCCCCTGATGCTCATTTGCTTACATAAAACTGTTCAAGTATTATAAACAACATGGACATGAAGGTCACCTATGTTTTTCCCATTGACATGTAGGCAATGTTGTCTCCCCATCACACATTCAAAGTGTTATTAACCCTTACCCTGTGACCACTTCTTGGTGCATTCTTGTTAGGGGTTGTAACTTGTTATGGCCTGGCTATAGGCGATATAAAGTAACAAAATCAGTTATTTGGAATAAGAAATTACTTCAATCTTTAGTCAGAACGGTTTACAAATAGTAAAAGATTTAGAGGGAGTACAGCTATAACCAGAAGTACAACTATAACCAGAAGTGACTTTTTCATAGCAGGTTAGGAGAATTTACACAGCAGGTTAGGAGAATTAACGTGGCAGGTTAGGAGGCTTAGGTTAAGGTTATAGGAAAAGGGTTAGGGTTAGGGTCAAATGCTCTACTAACTTGCTATGAAAAGTAACTTCCGGTTGTTGCTGTCCGTTAACCTGTGTGCCAGGGGTTTCCTTTGGCAGTGACGTAACCACTGATCTGGATTATGCACATCATTGGATGTAACAGTGGAATAGTAGACCAGTGGGATTCGCTGTTGAGCGCTACATCCCGAGGGGTTCATGCTGATTGTATGGAGATTGTGACAGCTGGTTAAATGGCGTCCCTTGAGAAGGCAAGAACAAGATGTATGTCAGGAGAAGTGCAGTATTATCATAAGGAGACGTATACTTGGAATACGGAGGAGGAATGGAGGGAAAAAGAGAGGCAGAGGAGGTCTAAAAGAGAGAGGGAAGAAGAGGGTGAGCTTGAGTTGGTTAAAAATGGCCGAAAAAGGGGAGATGGTTTGTTAAAGAAGAATGGTAGAAAGTGTAAGCAGAGTGAACTGAAGACTGGAGGAGAAATGGAAGTGAATGAGGGTGAAGTATCGGAGGTGGTAGTGTGTGGTGAAGTGCTCGGAGCCAGAGGCTTGCACAGAGGGTCAGGATAAAGATGAGTCTGTGACAGTAGGTGTGAAGTTTGGGGAAAAAAGTGGACCCTTGCCTTTTGGCTGATCCATTTGTGGTTTCAGGGTGGGTGGGTGAAAACAAAGTTGGGTGCTGTGGAATCGGTGAGGGATAATTGTTTGTGTTTCTGCTGGTCAGAGGGAGCAGGCGCTCCGTGTTAAACTAATGGGGGCAAGAGAAGGAGTGATTTCTGGGGTAGCGGTAAATGCAAAAGTTGACCAACTGAAGGGGAAGATTCCCGGTGTTTGTGAAGCTCGTTGTTTGCTGCGAAGCAGAATGGGTGGCGTGAGTGGTGAAACAGAAGAGTCGTTGTCTGTTCTTTTGAGTTTTGATGTTGAGTCTTTGCCCGACAAAGTGATGTTAGTTATTCTGTACTAGCTTTTGTACCAAATACATTACTTTGTTACAGGTGTCAAGCTTATGGGCATGTGGCAGCAGTGTGTAGGAGGAAGGTTCCTAGGTGTGAGCCCCTGTGTAGCTCAATTGGTAGAGCATGGCGCTTGCAACGCCAGGGTTGTGGGTTCGTTTCCCACGGGGGGCCAGTATGAAAAAATGTATGCACTCACTAACTGTAAGTCGCTCTGGATAAGAGCGTCTGCTAAATGACTAAAATGTAAATGTGTGCAGAAGGGCATGAGAGAAAGGAATGTGTAGCATTGGGGAAAGTAGTGGTATGTGCTAATTGTAGGGGTGCCCATGGGGCTGGGGATCAGAAATTTCCCATGCGAGAGAGGCAGGTTGAGGTTTCCAGGGTTAGAGAAGTGCAGAAGTTGTCATAAGCTGAGGCAGTTAAGAAAGTAGAGGAAGATGGGTCAAGGGGGAGGGATCCTGAGAGGAGTGGTGTGTTTGTAGATTTTTTATTTTTTTATTTCACCTTTATTTAACCAGGTAAGCCAGTTGAGAACAGGTTCTCATTTACAACTGCGACCTGGCAGATCTGTACCAGTACAGAGGGATAAACCAACAAGTGATATACTGTGTTTCAGTAAGATTAGATTTTTAGCATTTATAGCAATGGTTATCAACTGTACCGCAGGGATGGAATGTAAGTCGCAGAAAATTGAGGTTGTAGTGGCAGCTGCAGAGAGGTATTTGGGTGTGCGCAGTGTTGCGAGTTTTCAGACCACTCTAGCGACACGTTTTCAAAAAAGCGACTAGCGACAAATCTAGCGACTTTTTCTGGTGTTATTAGAGACTTTTGGAGACTCTGACGTGAAAGCACGTATCGTTCTTACTCTTCTCAACGAGCAGCGGGTGCTGCCCACCCCCGTCCCAAAGCACTCACAGGCGGCCCAGTCCTCGCGCAGCAGTACCTCCCAGCTGCAGTCAGAGCAGGAGATGTTCACCCCTTCGCGTCCAGACTGAAAATTAATCGCGCATGCGGGAAGCCGCTGATGTAAATGTAGGGTGTTCAGGGCAGGATGTAAATGTAGGGTGTGTTTTACTCACTTTTTGACTCTCCCACAACGTTATTCCTCTCTCCTACAGCGTCCATCACAATTACATGCACATGGCCAATTATGCATATTAGGTGATGACATCATTTAGCGACTTTTAGGACAGCCAATAGCTACTTTCCTTACTGAGGAGTTGGCAACACTGGCTGTGAAAGACTTGACGTCAGAAGAGTTACAGGGTGTGTTAAGCGGTGGTGTCCCATCCTCTCAGGTTGTTGGCCTGAGGTAGGACTAAATAGATTTAAATAGTGGAGTAGGGTGGTGGTATTTTTATGATTATTATTATTTAATTTTTTGTGAGTATAGTGTTAGGTGGTAGGGTATTTGTTTATTTTATTTTTTATTTATTTTTTATTCAAGCAAAGTATAAGGGAGTTGTACTCCAGGCTACAAGGTGGCGGTAATGCAACATGTATTGGATGCCAACCGCCGTTAAACCTCATGAAAGAAGAAGTAGTAGGCCTTCTTCAATTTGAAAGCTGGAGGGCCCGGCAATCTAACGTTAGCTAGTTGAACTATGTTCGGTGCATATTGGTTATAAAATATAACAAATAAAACTCTAAATATAATATTTTTATTTATCTAAATTTGTGATAATACGGCTTTCCGCTAAAATACGTAAACTGTCCGTGGATTTTTTAATTGTTTTGTTTTATTTAATCTGCCCTTAGTTTATTTGAACTCCCAAGGAGAAAGAAAGCTAGCATAGTTTGCGTGCGTGCTAACTACTTCCTTGTTCGTCCAAACTGGATTGTTATGGCAAGCGTAAAGACATGTCATTACTAAAAAGTGAAATGTTATTTTTCTTATTTTCAGCACTTTGGGAATATATTTTTTAAGCCGATGTGAGCTGCTATTTTCTTCAAGAGACATTTCCTTTCGAACAGGAGACATTGGGCCTGCTACGCTCCGTATGGAATGGAATGCAATTACGAGACATTGCCTAGCTAGCTACAGTTGCTAGCTAGCGAGTTAGCCCCGGCTAACTTGGCTAGCTAGCTAGTTGGCACATCTTTTGAATCACACAGTCCGGGATTATAATGATTGATTTTCATTTGTCATATTATTAAACTAATTTCATCAAGGGAAACATTGGATGATGGATTTTTTGGTGATGACGAATGCGATGGATTATCGTTTGTAATAGCTCACTGCTGTTTACTGTGTCACACGGTGGCAGTGTGACTTGCTAGCTAATTTAACTTGCTAGTTTGCTAGCTAGCCAATTTGTAGCAAATGTTTTGTTTTGTGTACCAAGAAACATAACACTGAAGACAACCAATATTACCAAAAGTATATATCACATCTTTTTGATAAATGCCTAACTCGGAGGTACTTCGCGAGAGTCGGGGAAGAAGCCCATCGGCACAGAGAAATGCCAGACCGGAGCGGCGCAGTAACGTTAGACCTGGAAGCTGTGCTACTCTGCAGCAAGAGAAACACCGGGAGAAGAGGCGGTCGTCGGCATCTAGGCGAAAGAAACACAGTCACGCCAGGGAGAAAGAACCATGGCATATGACAGGTGAACGGAGAAGCATTCTCGAAAGAGAAGGTGAACCTCGGACTTCGGTGGAATATGACGACGTAAGTTCCCAATCAGAACGCTTTTCTGGGAGCCCTTCACCTAAACCAGATCCGCATGGTCGGCTTTCGGCCGATCGATTTAGCAAAATTGAGTTTACCGACATCAACGGACCGATATCCCCAGAGAGAAGGTCTCGAAGAGACCGTGATATACTGCATCTCAGGAAGGATGACCAAACCAGTGGTTCATCCGAGAGGAATAGACAAAAGAAGGAACCGAAAAGAAAGGAACGCCAGAGCCGTGAGAGGGACTCTTTGAAATCTCGTGGCGGAAGTAGCCTGAGTGCCACCAAAAACAACCGAGATGGTTTGAGAAACAGTGACAGTAACGGCAAGAAGACCTCTACAACATTGCCACCCATGTCTTTGGATAAAAGGGAGTCTAATCGCCACAAAAGTAAGTCACGGTCTGAAAAGGAGCCCCTGTCTGCATACAGGGATGTACCACAATCATACCAAGATGACCGTGAAGAACTCAGGGCCTCCAGAAGAAGTCCTGGTTTCAAGGCAGAAAGTCCACATGGGACATCTTATTCATATGGATACCAGTCTCCTAGTGGTAGTTATAATAACCAGTTTATATCTAGAAGAAGTCCCAGTTATGGGAAGAAAAGGCTGTCCCCTAGTTCGACATACAACAGCCGAGATGCTGAGGTCTATAGCGCCTACAACATTTCAAAGTCGCCCCGTTCATACTCAAGCAACAAAAGAAAGCGGTCTCCAACGAGCCCATTCAACTGGCGCGGGTCTCCAACCTATGGCCGACATAGTCCATTCGAACAGGGAGAACTAGTCTCAAGTCCCTATGGTACCCATCGGCGATCACGAAGTCCATACCGAAAGTCACTCAGCCCAAGTCCAGACATAAGGTAAGCAATCAATCAGATGGTACTGTACCTGTATTAAAGTCAAGGATAATGCGCCTGGTATAATTTCAGGTGTCAATTTTCTTAACTACCTGACTGTCTGATTTGGACCAGTGTTTTAGCTACTCTTGTGTGATCATGTTCAATATTGTGTTTTATGCCCTTTGAGTGCGGAGTTCAGAACGTGCCGTAAGCTCACTCCACAGCTAGCTTGAAATGTTGCAAATGGAGCCATCCAATCGGTACCCTTTGGGTGGCTCAACCCATTGGATTGTTGTCGTCTCCTGAGTGGCGCAGTGGTCTAAGGCACTGCATCTCAGTGCTAACTGTGCCACTAGAGATCCTGGTTCGAATCCAGGCTCTGTCGCAGCCGGCCGCGACCGGGAGACTCATGGGCGGCGCACAATTGGCCCAGCGTCGTCCAGGGTAGGGGAGGGAATGGCCGGCAGGGATGTAGCTCAGTTGATAGAGCATGGCGTTTGCAACGCCAGGGTTGTGGGTTCGATTCCCACGGGGGGCCAGTATAAAACATATATATATATGTATTCACTAACTGTAAGTCGCTCTGGATAAGAGCGTCTGCTAAATGACTAAAATGTAATGTAATGTAAAATGTAAGGAGGGCAGTTACATCTGTTGCGAAGCAGAGCATCACTGGTTCGAGCCTAGTATGGGCAGTCGGACAGTGGAGGAGGCAAAGCTATTAGCAGCACACTGACCTCCATTACACATACTGCCTCATTATGCAAATATGATCACACAGAAGGCCTTAGTTTGGAAGAGAGGCCATCTCCTTTTCAAAATACAAGACTGCTCAAGACAGCAGAACGCTCACAACAGATGGCCTACGAAGTGTTGAATAAACTTGGCACATGAAAGAATGGAAACGGTGACATTAACAGCATGCACATTTGGCTTATCAATAGTAAGGAAGTGCATGACTGGTACTCTCAGTCATGGGGCCACGAGGTGCTTCAAATGCTGCCTGCCATTGTATCAGTACCCAAATTTACAAGTGCAATGTATCTAGATACCCATATTCCATACATTCTGACGTTTCGTGCTGACTATATCCGCAGGAGCCACTGGGAGACACCAGAGTTTAAAAATCCTTTGCTTTGGTTGACTAAAGTTATGCAACATGAGCTTGAAGGGATTAAATGGGAATGGTTACAAAGTTAATATTTTGAATCAGCCATTTTCATATTTTTATTTACAAAAGTTTCAATGGTTGAAATAAGGCTACACATTGGACTACGCGTGGCACCTCAAGGCTCCAGACTGCGACCATTTAGTCGCATTTTGCCACCCTTTGACTTGGCTGTGCGAGTTACATTTTTAATTGGTTGCATCAGTGCGAGCTGCACATTGTTTCGAGTGAGGTGACCATATACAAACACTTGCATCTTTCATAGCGAGCTAGTGAGGGATGGCGAGGTGGGGAGGAGCACAGTCAGTGTGGGAAATTAACTATTTGGTCCACCAGGCAGCTACTGTGACAGGTAGATGTAAAAAAAAAAAAAAAAAGAATAATCTACCAGCCGCAAAAAAAAATGTGCAGCCCTAATTTGTCTCTCTCCATATTTACACCAAAAAATAATTATTAATAAAACGGATGAGCATGCTTTCTAATGTTTCTACAACAGGAAATGTATTACTAGTAAGAAGTAATGGGGTATCTTGCTTAATTTCATTTGTGACCTGTGCCTTTTAACCAATGTATAACTGATAAACAGTTCTACAACTGACCATCAAGAATCAACAAAGTGCCTGCCCTGCCACAGAATGCAGAGTGATATGGCGTATTATTTATTTTAAACTGGGTGGTTCGAGCCCTGAATGCTGTTTGACTGAAAGCCGTGGTATATGAGACCTTATACCACGGGTAGGACAACATATTTATGTCAGACTGTGATGTCTTCACAGCAGAGTATGTGAGCAGAGTTGTGCCGTCGGAAATCCTGCTCATTGTTCATGGAGTGCTCCAGCAGTCCACTCTTTTCCAACCGCTCAGCTAAAAACTGCTCCATGCTCACAGGGGAAAAATTGCCACTCCAAATTCGCTCTATTCATTAAAATCACAATTTAACCAACACCAATCTTTTTCTGACTACCTGGATCTACCAAGTATTGAAACCAAACCATGAAAAGCATTTTAATAAACATGAAAAGGTGAATGTAAGAAGCGCTCATCATTTCAAAAAGGCTAGATGTTTTTTTTGTTTTTTTTTTATAGGAAGGCCTAAAGGTTTTTAGGCAAAATAACCCAATTAAAACAGAAAGCTCCTTGAAAGGGGGAATATGCACACTTTTAAGAGATCAGATTTTTAGTTTATAAATACTTTGCTGCGGTGACACACTTAGGAACAAGGTGGGTAGCAAACTTTCTTTTAGCATGTGCAGGTAGTAAGTACACACCATCATGCTTTCAGGATACTTGTCTTTTCAGATTCCACAATGATTCTTTAGTTGTGGACACATCACTGCACTCTCTCTCTTGCTCTTGGTCAGTGGTGGAAAAAGTAGCCAATTGTCATACTTGAGTAAAAGTAAAGATACCTTAATAGAAAATGACTCAAGGAAAAGTGACAGCCACCCAGTAAAAACTACTTGAGTAAAAGTCTAAAAGTATTTGGTTTAAAATATACTTGAGTATCAAAAGTAGAAGTATAAATCATTTCAAATTCCGTTATATAAAGCAAACCAGATAGCATAATTTTCTTGTTTTTGATTTACTTACAGATAGACAGGGGCATGCTCCAACACTCAGACATAATTTACAAACGAAGCATGTGTTGAGTCCGCCAGATCAGAGGCAGTAGGGATGACCAGGGATGTTCTCTTTTAAATGTGTGAATTAGATACCTTTCCTGTCCTGCTAACCATTTTAAAATGGAACGAGTACTTTTGGGTGTCATGGAAAATTGAGTAAAAAGTACATTTTCTTTAGGAATTTGGGGAATTAAAAGTTGTCAGAAATATAAATAGTGAACTACAGATACCCCAAAAACTATGTAAGTAGTACTTTCAGATATTATTACTTGAGTACTTTATCAGTTTCTTCATGAAAATATTTAGCAAACTCCATGACAGTAGCTAAAGCAAAGGGCTAAAGCAGCACAGAAGTAGACTAAAAATGTATGCTGGGCCGGGTATGCCCTGAGCTCGTGAAGTGAGCGAAATTGGAGCAGGCGAGAAGGCCGATGCTCCAGCCTTTGGGAATCTCACGCCGCGCTCGAGTCAAATTGGGCACGCTCCGCTCCGCTCACATACTCTGCTTCCTAGCAGCAAGACAGCTGCAGCAAACTCAAACTAACATTGAAAAACAACCTATCATTTGAACAAAACAATGTAACTGGCCAAGAAACACGAGGACAAAAACATACTTTAGTAGCCTTTCTTGTCAATTCGACCAACTTCTACATTTACTTTGCGGGTACTATTTAATGAAGCTGCCAGTTGAGGACCTGTGAGGAGTCTGTTTCTCAAACTAGACACTCTAATGTATTTGTCCTCTTGCTCAGTTGTGCACTGGGGTCTCCCACTCCTCTTTCTATTCTGGTTAGAGCCAGTTGGCGCTGTTCTGTGAAGGGGGTAGTACACAGTGTTGTACGAGATCTTCAGTTTCTTGGCAATTTCTCGCATGGAATAACCTTCATTTCTCAGAACAAGAATAGACTGACGAGTTTCAGAAGAAAGTTATTTGTTTCTGGCCATTTTGAGCCTGTAATCGAACCCACAATTGCTGATGCTCCGGATACTCAACTAGTCTCAAGAAGGCCAGTTGTATTGCTTCTTTAATCAGCACAACCGTTTTCAGCTGTGCTAACATAATTGCAAAAGGGTTTTCTAATGATCAATTGGCCTTTTAAAATGATAAACTTGGATTAGCAAACACAACGTGCCATTGAAACACAGGACTGATGGTTGCTGATAATGGCTGTCTGTACGCCTATGTAGATATTCATTGAAAAATCAGCCGTTTCCAGCTACAATAGCCATTTACAACATTAACAGTGCATTCAGTATGTAAATAAGGTATCTGTATTTTTTATTTTTAATACATTTGCAAAGACTTCTAAAAACCTGTTCGCTTTGTCATTATGGGGTATTGTATGTAGATTGATGAGAAAATAATATTTTAATCCATTTTAGAATATGGCTGTAACGTTTATAAAAAAAAAAAAAAAAAAAAAAAAAGTGGGAAAAGTGCAGGGGTCTGAATACTTTCCGAATGCACTGTATACTCTTCTTTAAAGTGAACTCTGGGGAGAGAAAATTAGCAAAATATCTGTTCTTTGTATTCACACTGCCCTTGCCTTTGAATGAAGTCCTCTTTGCATTCACATTGCTATGTTTAGAAAGGAACCAAGCTCTTTTTCCAACATTCACTCAATGCACTGTGGGTTTTTACAAAGTGCAGGACAAGCAAGCCATTCCATCAGAATGTGTTATCGGACAACTAGTGCATTCAGAAAGTATTCAGACCCCTTCACCTTTTCCACATTTTGTTACGTTACAGCCTTATTCTAAAATTGATTCAATTGTTGTTTTTTACATCAATCTCCACACATTACCCCATAATGACAAAGCAAAAACAGTTTTGTAGATTTTTTTGCAAATGTATAAAAAAATAATTATATCTGAAAATCACATTTACATAAGTATTTAGACCCTTTGCTCAGTGCTTTGTTGAAGCACCTTTGGTGGCGATTACAGCCTTGAGTCTTCTTGGGTATGACGCTACAAGCTTGGCACACCAGGATTTGGGGAGTTTCTCGCATTCTTCTCTGCAGATCTTCTCAATGTCTGTCAGGTTAGATGGGGAGCGTCGCTGCACAGTTATTTTCAGGTCTCTTCAGAGATGTTAGATCGGGTTCAAGTGCAGGCTCTGGCTGGGCCACTCGAGGACATTCAGAGACTTGTCCCGAAGCCTCTCCTGCATTGTGTTGGCTGTGTGCTTAGGGTAGTTGTCCTGTTGGAAGGTGAACCTACGCCCCAGTCTGAGGTCCTGAGCGCTCTGGAGTAGGTTTTCATCAAGGATCTCTCTGTACTTTGCTCCGTTCATCTTTCCCTCGATCCTGACAAGTCTCCCAGTCCCTGCCGCTGTAAAACATCCCCACAGCATGATGCTGCCACCACCATGCTTCACCGTAGGGATGGTGCCAGGTGTCCTCCATACGTCACGCTTGGCTTTAAGGCCAAAGAGTTAAATCTTGGTTTCATCAGACCAGATCATCTTGTTTCTTATGGTCTGAGAGTCCTTTAGGTGCCTTTTGGCAAACTCCAAGCGGGCTGTCTTGTGCCTTTTACTGAGGAGTGGCTTCCGTCTGGCCACTCTACCAAAAAGGCATGATTGGTGGAGTGCTGCAGAGATGGTTGTCCCATCTCCACAGAGGAACTCTGGAGTTCTGTCAGAGTGACCATCGGGTTCTTGGTCACCTCTCTGACCAATGCCCTTCTCCCCCGATTGCTCAATTTGGCCGGGCGGCCAGCTCTAGGAAGAGTTTTGGTGGAGGCCAGTGTGTTCTTGGGGACCTTCAATGCTGTAACTCAACATTATCCTGTCTCTGAGCTCTACGGACAATTCCTTCGAACTCATGGCTTGGTTTTTGCTCTGACATGCACTGTCAACTGTGGGACCTTATATAGACAGGTGTGTGCCTTTCCAAATCATGTCAAATCAATTGAATTTAACACCGGTGGACTCCAATGAAGTTGTAGAAACATCTCAAGGATGATCAATTAAAACAGGATGCACCTGAGCTCAATTTCGAGTCTCATAGCAAAGGGTCTGAATACTTATGTAAATAAGGTATTTCTGTTTATTTTTTATTGTATAGATTTGCTAACATTTCTAGACCTGTTTTCGCTTTGTCATTATTGGGTATTGTGTGTAGATTGAGGAAACAAAATAATTTAATCCATTTTAGAATAAGGCTGTAACGTAACAAAGTGGAAAAAGTCAAGGGGTCTGAACACTTTCCGAATGCACTGTACCTAATTACATTTTGGAAGCTAATAGATTGCATTTATTTAAAAGATGAGGCATAATAATTAAGGTAACTTTACACCTTTGCCCCTGCCATAACCCCTCACGTTGGTGCCACGAGAGAAGATGTGTAGGTTCGCGTAAAAACGTGTGCTGCTTTTGGATATTAATTAGCAATTGTCAAGGATGCACAGAAATGCCAAAATAAAATTAAAAAGATTATTGGTTTGTCCATCTTGAGACTCAGGAGCCACTTCCTCAAAATAGTCTGAATTAATCAAACTCATCTGGCATTCATTTTGACGTTGTTGTTGAGATAAAAATAAAAAAAAATGCTTCTCTCATTGAATGACAACAAACACTTCATTAACCCTTAGCCTACAATTACCGCAGCCCCGTGGAAATCGATTTAACGTAATAAAAACATCCCCATCAAAATCCGTCTGTTTAAGATCAAGATCTGTTTTTTGCATGGGATGCATTTCAATCCATCACATCCGCTGAAATCGCCCTTCCGCATCTACGGTGAAAGTTAGCAGAGCTAGAGCGGTGTTTGTCAGACCAAGAGAGAGCCTGAAAATCGGTCTTCTCACAAAAAGGTCTGTAGCATCCGAACGGTTTGGCCTACAAACTATTAAGCTGAGACTCTCACTCTCACGGTGGTGTTCTCCGTTTTTCTCTAGGACGCCCACAAGCCTCACTTGTCTGAAGGTGCCCGGTACCAGTAAAAAAAAAAAATAATAATGGAAGTGTATACACTACCAGTCAAACGTTTGGACACACCTACTCATTCAAGGGTTTTTCTTTATTTTTACTATTTTTTACATTGTAGAATAATTGTGAAGACATCAAAACTATGAAATAACACATATGGAATCATGTAGTAACCAAAGAAGTGTTAAACAAATCAAAATATATTTTATATTTGAGATTCTTCAAAGTAGCCACCCATTGCCTTGACAGCTTTGCACACTCTTGGCATTCTCTCAACCAGCTTCATGAGGTAGTCACCTGGAATGCATTTCGATTAATAGGTGTGCCTTCTTTAAAGTTAATTTGTTGAATTTCTTTCCTTCTTTATGCATTTGAGCCAATCAGTTGTGTTGTGACAAGGTAGGGAGAGGTATACAGAAGATAGCCCTTTTTGGTAAAAGACCAAGTCCATATTATGGCAAGAACAGCTCAAAGAAGCAAAGTGAAACCACAGTCCATCATGAAGATATGAAGGTCAGTCAATACGGAACATTTCAAGAACTTTGAAAGTATCTTCAAGTGCAGTCGCAAAAACCATAAAGCGCTATGATGAAACTGGCTCTCATGAGGACCGCCACAGGAATGGAAGACCCAGAGTTACCTCTGCTGCAGAGGATAAGTTCATTAGTTACCAGCCTCAGAAAATGCAGCCCAAATAAATGCTTCACAGAGTTCGTCACAGACACATCTCAACATCAACTGTTCAGAGGGGACTGTGTGAATCAGGCCTTCATGGTCGAATTGCTGCAAAAAAAACATATGTTAGCTTAGAATCTATGTCATCACGCACAGCATTTTATCCGCAACAAGTCAATTTGATGAAAACGCATCTCTGGTGGGAAAATACGCATATTGTCTTTTACGCTGATTTAAAATACATATATATATATATATATATATTTTGCATATATCTGTGGCCAATTGGATGGAAACCTATATTTGTGAAACACATTACTACAACTGTTTTACTAGATTGTGATTAAGGTTGTAATGATGCCTTTAATGGCACTGAATATGTAAATTGCCATTACAGTAGTCTGCTAGAATAGCACTAGGTAGACATTATGCACCTTTTTAAATGAGAACTTTTCTCCTGTGATAAAGATTCATCATACAACCTGTCTCTCCTTTCTCCAGGCGATCTGGCAAGTCTCGAAGCAGGAGCCCGTATTCCGCCTTGAGGCACTCCCGCTCGCGCCACCGCCGCTCTCGCAGTCGGCCCTCCAGCCTCTCCCCCAGCACCCTGACCTTCAAGAGCAGCCTAGCGGCCGAGCTCAGCAAGCAGAAGAAGGCAAAAGCTGCCGAGGCAGCAGCCCGGGCCAAGAGCTCCAGCAACGCCTCCACTCCCACCAAGGGTCCCTCTGCAGGCTCCCACCAGCCCAGCCCCAAGGCCAACCACGTCACCAAGAAGGGCTGGCCCCCTTCCCCTCCGCCCCCCGAGAAGGGTCCCAGGACCCCTGTGTCGAGCCGGCCCCAGTCCCCCACAGACAGGACCTCCAAGAGGAGCACAGAGCCCCCTCAGCCCAGCAGGGACAGAGAGCGGGATAGAGATGGTAAGGGGAAGGATGACCCCTCGGTGCAACGGGACAAGAGGAAAGCACCAGCATCCGGACAGGGTAAAGAGAAGGAGCGAGTAGCTGCTCCGACCGCCTCTACACTGACATCTCTACACCTGCCCCCGCACGTCCTCCAGCACTTAGATGGAGCGGACAGGTAAAGGGAATGTAATAGAATGGAGCTTTTCTTATCATTTTTATCACTCCCCCTCTCTGTACTGTTCCATAGCCTAACTTTTCATTCTCTTCTCTCCCCTGTGCAGCTTGAAGGACATCTTACCGTCGCTCTCAGGGAAGAAGCCAGCAGAGCGTCAGAAGGCCCACCACCTCCTTACCGAACTGCCCCTTCCTCCTGAGCTCCCCGGAGGCGGCGCCTCCTCCCCCCACAGCCCGTACAACGAGAAGAAGACCACCGCGCTTCACCGCCGGCCCAAGTATGTCTGGGCCCCTTGGCCTTCCGTGTCTGCTCTGTGGAATCATTATACTCACCTTACATCTTCCATGTCCTATGCTCCTTGAGTCTCTACTGCCTGGTGTTGACCACCACTGCTTGACCTAATCTCTTGTTGGTTTGTTTGTCTGTCTCCCAGGATCTGCGGCCCACGTTTTGGGGAGATCAAGGAGACTGAGATAGACTGGGGGAAACGGTGCGTGGACAAGTTTGAGATCATCGGCATCACGGGAGAGGGCACCTACGGCCAGGTGTACAAGGCAAAAGACAAAGACACAGGTGAGGACCACTGAATGCTTGCTTCGCTCAACATTTCATGTAGATCATATGGCGTAGCCTACTTTCCTTGTAGCTCATATTATAATTATTATTTTACTATCAACATTTGAAAGGGAAAACTCACTCTACTCAAAATGGAAGTCTCTCTATGCCCAGTGTATCTATGTATGAACATGTCTTTTATAATATACTCTGCCTTTTATCTCTATCCCCATGGTGTAGCTGAGATGGTGGCCTTGAAGAAGGTGCGTCTGGACAACGAGAAGGAGGGCTTCCCTATCACCGCCATCAGGGAGATCAAGATCCTCCGGCAGCTCAACCACAAAAGCATCATCAACATGAAGGAGATAGTCACCGACAAGGAGGATGCCCTGGACTTCAAGAATGACAAAGGTCCATATGACAAACCCACTGTATTACCATGTCCACACTCCATTCCCTACATAGTGCACTACTTTTGACCAGAACCCTATGGGACCTGGTCAAAAGTAGTGCACTGTAGGGAAAAGCATTTGGGATGCTGCCCATGTGTCTGCTTTATGTTAGTCCATGCATCCGTTTCCCTTCTATATGATCCATCCTCCTCCTACAGGTGCATTCTACCTGGTGTTTGAGTACATGGACCACGACCTGATGGGCCTCCTGGAGTCGGGCCTGGTCCACTTCAACGAGAGCCACATCAAGTCCTTCATGAGGCAGCTGCTGGAGGGCCTCCACTACTGCCACAAAAAGAACTTCCTGCACAGGGACATCAAGTGCTCCAACATCCTGCTCAATAACAAGTGAGTGCTCCTCAGGATAGCTAGCCTGCTGGTCCCAGATCTGTCGGTGCTGTCTTGTCCGCTCCTATGATCATTGTCACGCCAAAGCATAAGCAGATCTGTGGCCAGGCTAGAGAATAGCCAACGTCAAAGAGAACCTATTTCTATACACTGCGGTGTCTGACAGAAAGGGTTTGGAAGTCAAGTTAAAGCAGTGTTCTGTTCTCTCTGCCAGGGGTCAAATAAAGCTGGCAGATTTTGGACTGGCTCGACTTTATAACTCTGAGGAGAGGTAAGTGTCCCGATATGACTTACAGTTGATTACTGCCCGTAGTTATTGCCTTTTCAGATGTATTACTGTATATATGTTTCATCAAGCGTATTGGTCTCAACTGTGTTTTGTTGTGGATTACCGTATTTTCCGCACTATAAGGCGCACTGGACTATAAGCCGCAGGTGTTTTAATGTTTAATTACCATATGTAAGGGTTCGTGCACAGAGGGGATTGTCGGGAAAGAGACAAACTGTCTCGCTCTCGTAATGTCTGTCTGTCTTGCTCTCGTTCTGTCTCGTTCTGTCTCTCGTACCACTCTCGGTTCCACTTTTACTTTTGCGCCCTACCTGTCTCACTCTTTTCCGGCCTCCAGCTTTTCCTGCTGGAGCCCACCGCTTAAAGGTGGGGGGCGCGGACCGGTCATAGAGCCCATAGAGTTAAAGTTGGTGGACTGTAACCTGTAAAATCCATAGATTTAGGAGGTCTTCTAGTGGCCGTTAGCTGTAAAAATCCATAGATTAGCCGCACCGTTATATAAGCCGCAGGGTCGAAAAATGGGGAAAAAAGGCGCGGCTTATAGTCCGAAAATTACGGTATATTATTGACACTGATGTATTTGTCATTTTTCTGTCCCCGTCTTATAGCCGACCGTACACCAACAAGGTGATCACCCTGTGGTATAGACCCCCTGAGCTTTTGCTGGGGGAGGAGAGGTACACACCTGCCATTGACGTGTGGAGCTGCGGGTAAGAGACACATACAGTGGGGAGAACAAGTATTTGATACACTGCCGATTTTGCAGGTTTTCCTACTTACAAAGCTTATAGAGGTCTGTAATTTTTATCATAGGTACACTTCAACTGTGAGAGACGGAATCTAAAACAAAAATCCAGAAAATCACATTGTATGATTTTTAAGTAATTAATTTGCATTTTATTGCACAACATAAGTATTTGATACATCAGAAAAGCAGAACTTAATATTTGGTACAGAAACCTTTGTTTGCAATTACAGAGATCATACGTTTCCTGTAGGTCTTGACCAGGTTTGCACACACTGCAGCAGGGATTTTGGCCCACTCCTCCATACAGACCTTCTCCAGATCCTTCAGGTTTCGGGGCTGTCGCTGGGCAATACGGACTTTCAGCTCCCTCCAAAGATTTTCCATTGGGTTCAGGTCTGGAGACTGGCTAGGCCACTCCAGGACATTACATTACATTACATTAACGTCATTTAGCAGACGCTCTTATCCAGAGCGACTTACATTATTTTTTATTATTTTTTCATACCCCCTGTGGGAATCGAACCCACAACCCTGGCGTTGCAAACACCATGCTCTATCAACTGAGCTACATCCCTGCCGGCCATTCCCTCCCCTACCCTGGACGACGCTGGGCCAATTGTGCGCCGCCCCATGGGTCTCCCGGTCACGGCCGGCTATGACAGAGCCTGGATTCGAACCAGGATCTCTAGTGGCACAGCTAGCACTGCGATGCAGTGCCTTAGACCACTGCGCCACTCAGGACCTTGAGATGCTTCTTACGGAGCCAATCCTTAGTTGCCCTGGCTGTGTGTTTCGGGTCGTTGTCATGCTGGAAGACCCAGCCACGACCCATCTTCAATGCTCTTACTGAGGGAAGGAGGTTGTTGGCCAAGATCTCGCGATACATGGCCCAATCCATCCTCCCCTCAATACGGTGCAGTCGTCCTGTCCCCTTTGCAGAAAAGCATCCACAAAGAATGTTTCCACCTCCATGCTTCACAGTTGGGATGGTGTTCTTGGGGTTGTACTCATCCTTTTTCTTCCTCCAAACACGGCGAGTGGAGTTTAGACCGAAAAGCTCTATTTTTGTCTCATCAGACCACATGACCTTCTCCCATTCCTCCTCTGGATCATCCAGATGGTCATTGACAAACTTCAGACGGGCCTGGACATGCGCTGGCTTGAGCAGGGGGACCTTGCGTGCGCTGCAGGATTTTAATCCATGACGGCGTAGTGTGTTACTAATGGTTTTCTTTGAGACTGTGGTCCCAGCTCTCTTCAGGTCATTGACCAGGTGCTGCCGTGTAGTTCTGGGCTGATCCCTCACCTTCCTCATGATCATTGATGCCCCACGAGGTGAGATCTTGCATGGAGCCCCAGACCGAGAGTGATTGACCGTCATCTTGAACGTCTTCCATTTTCTAATAATTGCGCCAACAGTTGTTGCCTTCTCACCAAGCTGCTTGCTTATTGTCCTGTAGCCCATCCCAGCCTTGTGCAGGTCTACAATTTTACCCCTGATGTCCTTACACAGCTCTCTGGTCTTGGCCATTGTGGAGAGGTTGGAGTCTGTTTGATTGAGTGTGTGGACAGGTGTCTTTTATACAGGTAACGAGTTCAAACAGGTGCAGTTAATACAGGTAATGAGTGGAGAACAGGAGGGCTTCTTAAAGAAAAACTAACAGGTCTGTGAGAGCCGGAATTCTTACTGGTTGGTAGGTGATCAAATACTTATGTCATGCAATAAAATGCAAATTAATTACTTAAAAATCATACAATGTGATTTTCTGGATTTTTGTTTTAGATTCCATCTCTCACAGTTGAAGTGTACCTATGATAAAAAATTACAGACCTCTACATGCTTTGTAAGTAGGAAAACCTGCAAAATCGGCAGTGTATCAAATACTTGTTCTCCCCACTGTACATTGAGTTGACATTTGATTTGGTGTTTCACTGGCTGATGAGATTCATGATTCTTGAACCAAGGACAGATGATGGTCATGGTTCTATAAAGAGGATCATGCATTCACCCTGTTTTTGTCTGAAATCCAGATGCATTCTGGGGGAGCTGTTCACAAAGAAGCCCATTTTCCAAGCCAACCAGGAGCTTGCCCAGTTAGAGCTGATCAGGTACGTTGTGGTCAGAGGAAAAGGGTACTATAAATCCGTCATTGTCTTATCCTCAGTATTCCTTTAAAGATTCACTATTAAGAAATTGCTCTGTCATTTCCTGCTTGCTAAAATTCTAATAATTCGCCAAATTTCAGTTTGTGACAAAAAAAGCAAATATAGTCCCTGGAGAGCTACCGTCCTGTAGGTTTTTGGCCCAACCCTAATCTAGTGCACCTAACTCTAATAACTAGCTGGTTGATAAAGCTGAATCAGGTTAGTTACAACTGGGGTTGGAGCGAAAACCTACAGGAGGGTAGCTCTCCAAGGGTTGGAGAGCCCTGGTATAGAGAATCATTATACCATCTAAACCGCTGTGAAATATTGTAATTTCAGCTGTTTGAAGCTGGTGTACAAAACTGATAGTAAAAGACGCAAAAACAACTTTAAAACGAGAAGCATAGAAATGGCACACATAGAACAGATCTACCGCTTCTTAGACTTGCTTTCAATGAGTGACAGATCTATAACTCACATTTCCATGTGAATTGTGTCAGGTCGCCCAAAAAGTTAAGATATTGCAGCTTTAACTGTCTGAAAGACTTTCAGCTATCTCGTTTGACAGTCTTCCTGATAGGACACAATATTCAACTCTAGCCCAAACTGATGGCTTCTCTCCCTTCCAGTCGTATCTGTGGCAGCCCCTGCCCCGCCGTGTGGCCAGACGTCATCAAGCTGCCCTACTTCAACACCATGAAACCAAAGAAACAGTACCGCCGGCGGTTACGAGAGGAGTATGCTTTGTGAGTCCATCAGCTTGTTTGAATTCAGTAATTGGGGCTCATCATTGGAGTATGAAAATAATACATAGCATTATCCTTTGGCTGTGTTTGACTAACCACTTGGTCTTTCTCTCTGGTCAGTATTCCACCCTCAGCCCTGGACCTGTTTGACAACATGATGTCCCTGGACCCCAGTAAGCGCTGCGCGGCTGAGGCGGCACTAAGCAGTGAATTCCTCAGAGACGTGGACCCAACCAAGATGCCCCCACCAGAGTATGTTTGGCAAAAGACGTTTCACCTCCAGTGTCTGTGATCCATCACTGTAGAATATATATTTTTCATGATCCACACTTTGCTCGGCTTGTTACTTTATTACCCTCAACATTTTGTCTCCTGTCCTCCTCCCCATCGCTCTTCTCCAGTCTCCCCCTGTGGCAGGACTGCCACGAGTTGTGGAGTAAGAAGCGGCGGAGACAGAAGCAAATGCCAGAGGAGCTGTCTGCCCTCAAGGCCCCCCGTAAGGAGCTGGGGCTGGGAGACGACAGTCGTAGCAACACCCCCCAGGGCTTCCCTCTGCCCGGGGGGCTCAAAGCCCAGCCTGTGGCTGCCTCGGCCCTGCTGGGTGAGTGAATGGGTCTCTAGTCTAGTACCGCAACGTCACCCCACCATACTTGCCTCATGCCTTGTCAATTACACACTAACAACAACTTGGAGTGAATTAAGAGTTACTTTTTAGTAAATCACGTTTTTCATATTTCCTTTGTCTCCCGTAGACCCAAAAGGTCCCAACTGCCAGCTGACCCAGGAACAGCTGGCGGTCCTCTTCAAGCTGCTTGGCCAGTCCAAGAGCGCTGTCAACCCGGCCCAGATCGCTACAGTCAACTCTGAGACCCTGCAGCAGCTCTCCAAGGTCCTGCCACCAGCGCCCTCCGACTCCAACCGGCCCCCGGAGCTACCCCCTCCGCCCAAGCCCCCTCAGCTGGGTGGAGTGCCCCCCATGCCCAAGCCCCCATCACCTCCTCCGTCGTCGGTTTCGCAGGGGAAGCCTGAAGGTGAAGCGTCGGCAGCCACCCAGACGGCGGTCACCATGCTGCTGGCCCAGCTCCTCCAGGCCCATCAGAGGCAAGAGGCCGGGGAGGAGGCAGACGGCAGCAACCCACCAGCAGGAGGGCCTCGGCCACCCCCTGAGCCCAAGCAGCTCCCAGAGCCCATCCCTGTCTCACCAGGTAACTACACTCATATAGAGAATATAGTGATGTATTTATAACCACATTTCTGCTAGTATTCCACTGTTGTTACCATCCAGTAGGCTTATCTGTCTCTAATTTCTATACACAATGAATTTAATGTTGGATAGAACTCCAACTAGAACTATCCCTTTGTATTGAACTAACATCATGTCTTGTGGTTTTCCCCCTTAGTGTCCGAGGGGAGTGGAGTTTCTTCCAGACCCATCCTACCCCCTGACCAGAGACCCCCTGAACCACCAGAGCCCCCTCCCCGCAGCGAGGACCTGGACTACCGGCAGAAGATGGAGCCCAAGACCGGCCACCTGCCACCCATGCCGACCTCAGGTGGGGCCGGTGAGGGAGGAAGGCTCCCGGAGCAAGTCTACTCACCACACCCCGGCGCAGAAGGACCGGGCTATGGCGGTGACTACAGCCGCCCACCCCCTCCACCCTTCCCTCCTGCAGGTTTTGGCGACAGCTACATGGGCCACATGCTGGGGGGTGGCCTGCCCCCCCACGCCCTAAGGGAGGTGTTCAGCAGCAGCGCTCCAACCCCCGGCTCGTCCTCGGCTGCCGGTTCCCTGGCCCCCTCGCTCCAGGAGCCCTACCCTTTAGGCACAGGGGGAGGTAGAGGTGGCAGTAGCATGGTGTTCAGCGGGGACAAAGACCACCGTTTTGAGTACAATCACAGCCCCTCCTTGCCTGGGGAAGGGCAGCTCAACCCCAACCAGCATCCATCTCTACAACCATGCCACCCCTCCCCCGCCCATCCCACCTCCGGGCCAGTCCTGGGGCTCACCTTCCCAGGCCGGGGCCCCACCTATGCCCCTCGGCTTCAACCCACATGTGAACTCAGCAACCATCCGAGGACGAGGCCTCCCCTTCTGATTGGCTGTGGCATAGTGAACGGGGTGGGGTGTGACGATGGAAACGCCCCAGACTTGAGGACTCAAAAGGAACTGAGCCCAAACCCTCTCAGGCTAGACCAGAAGTATCTAGAAATGCGCACTTGATTTGTAATAATTTAAAAAATCTGTGTCAAGCATTGTATTCCTACTTTATCTGGAATGTGGGTTATGTTGCAGAAGGAGGGGGGTTGAATAGAGGGGGCTTTTCTTGCTCATACCATTTTGTACTGTTTTTTTTTTTTTGTAATCTATTCTACTGCTGTCTTTTAAATTAAACTTGTACCTTTTTTGAGTACATTTACCAGGCTAGGTATGCGTTTTAAATATGTACCTTAGCTTTTCTTTAATTACTCCTGAGCAGACTATTATTAATATGTTTTTGAACTACTGACTAAAGTAGGCGAGAACAATTTAGGTATGAAATTAATGAAGTGCTATATCTGCACAATTATTTAAAAAAATGTTTTGGTCAAGAATATGTTGAAACCAGGAAGGCTCAGTTGATCGGGCTCCTCTGGGAGATTGAACTTTTCAACAAAAACAAGCCCAAATTTTGTCATATCCACAAGTACAGTGAAATGCTTAACTTGCAAGCTCTACCCAACAGTGAAGTGGATCATTGGTTCCAGAAAGACTGGCAGATCTTGGGTGACTGCAGTAAAACTGATAGGTACTGCATTACTTGATGGAGGAAGGCTGTGTTCACCTTAAATTCCACAAGCCCTCATGACTTTCAAATGGCAATTGGCAATGTAAAACAAACCCAAGTTCAAAAAGGAGACAAGCAACAATGTCTTTTTGTACTAAAATGTTATTTTTCTTCTTTGGCAAATGTTTATTAAAGAAATGCCAACAATGCTTTCTTTGAGTGTCCTTTTTTGATGAACGACAGTCATAAAGTATCATCAGAGTTTCTAAACCCAGAGGTGCAACATCGCAAGACTTAAGTGAACGCTTGCGAAACAGACCAGGCCGTGAATTTTATTCCCAGGAATAATTTTCCCAGCCGTGAAAATTATTCCCAGTCTAAATGCACAACCTATATTTGAGTCAATGTATTCAATAGTTTAACAGATTGTCACTTTCACAAGGTTGTAGTAAACAGACATTTTCATTTTCGTAAACTTTTATATCGAATGAGTGCCTTTGATTTGACAGCCTGCACATGTGCAGTTCGGTGCGAGACGACCATTAGACCTGATGACTGGTTTCTATGTATGAGCTTAGCTAGCCAACATCTCCAATAGAAATCCCAGATCACACTTGTAGGCGATGTCATGGCGAAGTAGTTTTAGCCTGTCTTCATACTGTACTGTTTGTTATCATACCTGAACATATTAACCACTGGAGGACAGTGTAAGTCAACCAACTACTGAACAAAAATGTGACAATAGTCTGAAAAACAGACAATTTAAAACATTTTTATAAATTCATAGCCTACTAGAAAATAAAAACTGATGAGGGACAGTGATAGATGCTTGTTTGTTTGAATTTGTCTATACAATACTATTTTTGGTTGGAAGTTTTGCTGCCAAAAGAAGGCATGGATGAATGAGAAGGAGATGAAGGCAGGAACCACCTGGAATGAAGTCAAGAAAACCACCCAGGACAGAGTTCACTGGAGATGCACCGTCAAGACTTTGGTAAAAATGTCTACAAATCCAAGGCTAATGGACTGTGTGAGAAATAAATACTCATTAAACACAACTGTGACTTTAGTTGTGTTTAATGACTAAATGCAGGTAGTATTGATGTTGCTGCCTCTTGTGCAGGTGCTATAGCAACAGGGCAGAATCTATTGTTGTTGCCACCCCCAGGGCAGTTACTATAGCATAAGGGCAGATTACTACTCATGTTGCTGCCTCTGGGGCAGGTACTGTAGCAGAAGGGCAGATACTATTGATGAACTCAAACTGTCTTATAATTTTTTGTATGAACTGTTTGACATTGTGGCCATTGTTACAGTGACTATTGTCAGGCAGTGACTACCCAGCATTTTTCCATTTATTGAATGAAAGGTGACATTTTTGAAAATGATTAAAGTTATGATTATAATTTTTTTAAGATATAGCATCTATATTGAATCGCTAGGAAGATAGTTATTTTCTTTGTAGGGCAGAATTGCCTAATACTTTTATCACATGTAAAATAAATACATGGCTAGGGAAATTACCTGTCTGTCTGTCTGACTTTTTCCCCACAGCCCCCGAAAACTTGGCGAGTGGGTTCGGGGACAACCCGCGAGAACCCGGCCTAGAGTAAACAGAGTGCGTCTCGGGCCCCGACCTCTGACTTCCATACGACTCTGGTTTCTCTTCATTTTACTAAAGACTTCCGTGGAGAGGAACACATTTACGAGTTCAACGTATTTTTGGAGGGCCTTTGCTTCTGGCAGAGCCCGATATCTTGTTTCAAGAGAAATCAACAGAGACTGAGGTGCCTCAAAGCTCGCAGAGTCGAAGGTCATGGCCGGAGGGCAGGATCATCAGTCAGCCAGAGGGGCTGGACTGCGCAATACTTTGCAGTTCGTATGGAAGAACAAGGGCAAGCAGATTGGGAATCGAGAATGGTTCATCAGGACGGTGATCATTGAAGGTTTAAGGGTGGACCCAGGGCATGTTTACTGCCTCCAGCGGAACACAGCTGCAGAGGGGTATGATCTTTCACTGAACAGCCAGGCCTTGTACAGGCGGTGTATGGATATTTGCAAAGAGAAGGCAACGAGCGAGCCTTTTTCGAATTTCCAGGTTTTCCCCTTGTGCCGGTTGGATTTGAAGATCATAACTGTGCACATGTACAATCCCTATGTGGGGGATGACAGCATCGGTGCGTTTCTAGGTCGGTTTGGGAAAGTGAGTCCCGGAGTACGATATCTAAGGGATGGGTACGGGATATGGTCGGGAAGGAGGCAGTTCCGGGTCGTACTGAACAGGGATCCGGAAGGAGTCGATAAGCTGGTTCACCCACCAGCCTATTTCTCCATTGGTGCGGACCGGGGGTACCTGTTTTATTCAGGCCAGCCAAGTTTTTGCAGACACTGCCGCAGCTTTGGCCACTTGGCCACGGGGTGCACCCTGCTGAAGTGCAGAAACTGCGGGAAGCCAGGTCATGGGGCAGCCAACTGCAGGGAGGCCCGAGTCTGCAATGGCTGTGGGAAGCAGGGCCACATTTTCAAAGATTGCCCAAAGAGACAACGGACCTATGCGGATGCAGCCGGCGATGGCCTCGTGGTAGATGCTGCGAACTCTCCTCTACGGCCAATAGAGGAGGTTCTCAAGGAAATTAGAGCGGTCGCAGATGAGATGGGAAAAGCTCCAGGGGGAAGTGCAGCAGAGGAGGTCCAGACGACGGAGACCTTGGAGGAGATGGAGTTGCTGACGGGCGCCTGGGAGGATAGTCCGCTGAGCGAGATGTCAGACGACTCTGCTACACCCACCCGTTCGCGGAAGATGAGGTCGAGTTCGGCTGGCGGGGCAACTGGATCGGCATCTTCAGGCAATGAGCAGTCAAGTTTGGAGTATAAGGGGAAAAGGAGGAAGAGGAGGAGGGTCACTGACAGGGGGTTGGTGGAAGAACACAGGAGGCCATCGGTGGCCGTCTCCAACCGGTTTGCAGTACTGAACCCTGATACCGGGGATGAAGGGTTGGAGGTAGGGGTCGAGATCCAGGATCCAGGGTCATTGAAGGCTCCTGCACTGGAGGTCTCTGAAGCCTCGATAGGGAGCACTGGAGATAAGGTCCAAGGGTCTTGTTTGGGTCTGGCAGTTTCCGGGAAGGGCGCCTCAGGGGTGGACACCGATCCTGAGGAGGTTTCGATGGAATGTGCACAGGTGTTGCCCGGGGGAGACTGTTCTTCCAGCTCTGGGGAGGGATCGCTGGTCTGTGGACAGGTACCAACCCGTGTAGACTCATCTTCCAGTCCTGAACGCTCGTTTGTGGCGCCGGGCACGCTGAACAGTGACCTCTATCTGGAAGAGGTGAGTGGTTCGGGGATGGGGGAGGGTCCTGTATGAGGGGGAAGTATACGGACCGTGGATGATCTTGGGTTTTTTTTTTTTTCTTTTGTATGGCCCTGTTTACAGCTGTGACAGTGAATGTCAGGGGGTTAAGGGATGTGGGGAAGAGAGGAGGAGTGTTTCAGTACCTTTACTGTGTCTATTTTCAGGTCTGTTTTTTACAAGAGGTTCATTTAAGGGACATGGGGGATGTTTCTGTTTTTTCAAGAGAGTGGGTAAAGGGAGAATCCAGATGGGGGATAGGGGGGGTGCACTCCTCTGGGGTGGGGATCCTGTTTGGGGATAGGGAGTTTTGTGTTGGGGGTTGTTTTTCTGTCATACAGGGGAGGGTTTTAGTGGTTGATGCAGACTGGAGGGGGGCGAGGTTTCGCTTTATTAATGTTTATGCACCTGCTGAACCTCGGGGTAGGAAAGAGTTATTTTTGGCCCTGACAGATGTTTGTGTTACTAACCGAACTGTGGTGCTTGGGGGGGATTTCAATGTCTCTTTTGAAGGTACTGGGGATTTTAGCCTACCTTATTTGGTGTCTGTTGTTAAGAATTTTTCTTTTAGAGATTCTTACAGAGTCATCAACCCCACGGGGGAGGGTATGACATGGGCAAACTCAAGGGGCTCACGTAGCCGAATTGACTTTATGTTTTTACCTGCATCTGTGCCAGTCTCGAGAGTCACCGTTTCTCCTGTCTGGTTTTCTGACCATTGCCAAGTACAGGTGGTGTTCTCAGTTGAGGCGCCTATATTTGGGAGAGGGTTTTGGAAATTAAACGTAAACATTTTGGGGGATTTGTCTTTCAGGGAGGCTTTTAAATCCCATTATGAGATATGGGGTGACCTCAAGCCCTATTTTGGTTCTTTAGTCGAATGGTGGGAGTGCGTAAAGCGCAATGTGCGCACACTGGCCATTTCTCACTGTGTTGCTAAGGCTCGGGCTGACAGGGGGGTTTTTCGGCAGCTTCAGGGGGAACTGGCAGCCTTGGTGGCAGCTGAGAACAACGGTGAGGGGAGGGATGTGGAGAGAATGGAGGTTTTAAAAAGTAAGTTGGGGCTGTATTTTCAGGGGAAGGCCAGGGATTTTCTCTTCAGGTGTCAAAGGGATAAGTTTGAGTTTGGGGAGGCGAGTAGTTCATATTTTTTTAAACAGGTTAAAGCTGCTCGGGCCAAAGCAGTAATTGCCCAGCTGCGAACAGAAGGGGGCGGAATGGTCTCTGACCCTAGTGGGATGGTGGAAGCAGCGTCCGCATTCTACCGAGAATCCTTTAGGGAGAAGGACATAGACGGTTCGAAAGAGAGTGTCTTTTTGGGTTTTTTGAGGAGGAAGGTTCCCCCGGAGGCAGTCGTTGACCTAGACCGCCCTTTTGAGCTGACGGAGGTTGAGGCTGCTTTGCGGGCTTTACCTACCAACAAGGTGCCAGGTTTTGATGGGATTCCTCTGGAGTTTTATGTTACCTTTTGGGAGGTTTTGGGGAGAGATTTTCTTTCTGTAGTTAATGCAGTGTTTGATTCAGGGCTTTTAGGGTCTTCAATGAGGGAGGGGGTCTTGACGCTGTTATTTAAGAAAGGGGAAAGGGATAACCTGGGGAATTATAGGCCCATTACACTATTGTGTGCAGACTATAAGGTGGTAGCCCGGGTTTTAGCGGGCCGCCTCAGGAAGGTTCTGCCTCATGTCATACATGAGGATCAGACATGTGGGGTGGAGGGGAGGTCCATCCACTGGAACCTGAGTCTGGTGAGGGACTGTATTGCTTGGGCCCAGGACAGAGGGGTGCACCTCATGTTGGTGGGCTTAGACATGGAAAAAGCTTTTGATAAGGTGCACCATGGGTTCCTTTTTTCAGTTTTGGAAAGGATGGGGTTTGGGGCAGGGTTTTTAAGGTGGGTGGGGATTTTATATACGGCAGTGGGAAGTAGGGTTTTAGTTAATGGGCATGTAGGGGAGGTGGTCCCTCAGCAGACTGGGGTACGTCAAGGCTGCCCATTGTCACCACTGCTTTATGTGTTGTACATTGAGCCTCTGGCAGCAGCTTTCAGGGCGGACACACGTATTTTGGGCCTCCGCCTCCCTGGCGGTGGCTCTTCGGAGGTCAAGATCTCCCAGTATGCGGATGACATGACTTTGTTTCTGACGTCCGAGGGGAGTGTTGCCAGGGTGGTGGAGGTCCTGGGGGAGTTCGGACAGGCGTCGGGGGCTAGGGTCAACCTGGGGAAATCCTCAGTTAAGTTTTTTGGGCCGTGGGCGGGGAGACAGGAAGGCCTCAGTGGTCTCTCGCTCTGCTCGGGGCCGATGAGGGTCCTGGGAGTGGATTTTGAGGTGGCAGGTAGTGAGGGAATCAATTGGGGACAGAGGATTGCAAAAGTGCGCACCCGGGTGGGCCTTTGGAAAGCTCGTCGGCTCTCTATGAGTGGACGGGTTCTTGTCATTAAAGCAGACATTCTTCCGTCCTTGGTTTATTTGGCCTATGTTTTTCCTGTGCCTCCTCGTTACAGGAAGGGCCTAGTGCGAATTATTTTTTCCTTTGTTTGGGGGGGCTACGAATATGTAAAAAGGGATTGGATGGTGCAATCAGTGGAGGAGGGGGGAAGGGGTGTTCCTGACCTCCCTCTTAAGTTGGACACTATTTTCTTTTCTTCGATATGTAAAAGTTTGGTCAGCCCTTGTAGCCACGGTTTCAAGGTTTTTCTTTTGTTTTGGCTATCCTTCCCACTGCGAAGGTTGGTAGCCTGGGACAACTCCCGCCCTAAGGCGGAGACCCTCCCGGCTCATTTCCAACATGCGGTGAAGTGGAGCAGAAGGCACACTGAGTGCCTGGAGGGTCTGCTCTGCATGGACCACAGGGCTTTATACAGGACCTTGGTGGCTAAGCGGGGTCCTGTCGGTATCTATGGGGTGGGACCAGTGGTATGGAAGGCGATTCAGCAGAAGGGTCTACCTAACAGGTTGAAAGATCTAAACTGGTTGTGTCTGCATAGGCGTTTGCCCGTTAGGGAAGTCCTTCATAGGCACGGCCTGTCAAGGGTTAAGGTATGCCCAAGGGAGGGGTGTGAAGGCGAGGAGACGCTCCGTCATGCATTTTGGGAGTGCTCCTTTGCCCGGAGGGTGTGGAGGGAACTGGGTTCTTGGTTTTCAGGTGAAGGGGATTTCATCTTTTGAAGCAGTTACGTTGGGGTTGGGTTTGGGCATCAGCAGCGGGAGGGGGTCTTTTTTAATTTGGCTACTGATCTCTTTGGGGAAGGCAGCTCTGTGGGATTCAAGGGGGGTTTTGATTAAGTCCAATATGGACTGGGGAGTAGGTGGGGTGGTGAGTAGGGTTAGAGCTGATCTGAGAAAGAGGTTTGATTTTGATGTGGACAAATATGGTTTCCATGCCTCTCAGTAAAGGACAGTTTGTTAAAAGGTTCTGTTTTCAAGATTGGGCCTATTTGTATTTATGTTTATTTTTTTATTTTTTTTTCCATGACTCGTTATTGTGCGGGTTTGGGTTGGCATTGTCTTGTAATTTCAAGCGTTTTGTACAAGGCTTAGTGTGTAAGATGAGTGGTTTTGTTTAATTAATAAAAATAAAATAAAAAAATCTGTTCTTATCAGTTGAATATCTGATACGTCCCCCATTGGGGGACTACATATTAAATGGATTTTTCGAACAGGGAGTCGGAAATGGGGCTTGCTCCGTCCGCTCCACGCATCGACCCGGTATTGCAGTACCTCCGGGAACGGTGCAACACTTTCCTCCCATTGTCAATGAAAACAACTACACGGAGGTAGGTAAAACAGCCAGCAGAAGAAGAGAGGTTAAAAAAAAGAAAAAGAAAAAAAAAAATCCAAACTGAAAGAAGGGCGAAGCGCTTTTTGTGTGGTCCAGCGTTTTCCCTCCAAAGTGTTGCACCGTTCCCGGAGGTACTGCAATACCGGGTCGATGCGTGGAGCGGACGGAGCAAGCCCCATTTCCGACTCCCTGTTCGAAAAATCCATTTAATATGTAGTCCCCCAATGGGGGACGTATCAGATATTAAACTGATAAGAACAGATTTTTCTTTTGGAAAAGTTTTTATTATACATTTCCTTTAAAACAGCTCACATTTGCAATACATTTACACACATAAAAACGGCATCAAGTGCATAAAAACCAGCATTACATTACAATTAAATTTAAAAAGGTACATGTTGTTTATTTAAAACAATAAAACAATCCTATATAAAAGTACCTATTCTTGTAAAAGCCGATTACTAAAAGCCATTTAAAATGTGCATAAATGTTTTAACAAAGTAAAAACAATTTTAAGACATAAAAAGCCTGTCAAAAAGTCACTTTGTTAAAAAAGCTGTCTTCGGTCCTTTGTACAGAAACGGGGTGAGTCCTTATCAAAAAAGCCTCCTCCTGCTCTTCCTGAAACGACTCCGTACCCGTCCGTCGGGGCCCAGAGGAGACTCCTCCCCTAGGCGCATCGCCCTAGGCGCCGCAGCGCTGTCAGGCCGTGGCCGCCGGGGGGTCGAGGCCCCCTGTCGTTCGTACCACCCCAGGGCTTCCGTGGCTACCAAAGCCACTGCCTGGGGGGTGGTCTCTACCTGTTTCCCCACCAGCAGGTTGCGGGAGGACCACAGTGCATCCTTCAGACACGTGAGGGTGGGCCAGAGTTGTGTGAAGGCCTTTGTTGTAATAGGCCTTCGGCCCACCCCATACAGCACGAGCTGGGGCGTTAGGTCCTCCCCTGCTGGCAGGCGTGGGGAGATCAGGGGGCCTGCTTCCTTCCACAGGTCCCGTGCGGCTCTGCACTCCCAGAGCAAGTGCCTCACCGACTCTTCTTGGCCGCAGCCTGGTCGGGGGCACGCGGATGTCCTCGCCATGCCCCGGGAGTGCATAACGGCCCTGACCGGGAGGATCTCGTGGGCGACCATCCAGGACAGGTCACGGTGCCGATTCAGCAGAGCAGGATGGGCCACGTTGCGCCAAACCGTTGAGGGCTCGCCTATAGCAAGCCCGCGCACTGGACACACCGGTTCCCGTTCCTGCACAAGAGAGAGAAGAGAGCGGTGTTTAGTTAAAACAGTGACAGGCTCCTTTTCCAGTTTAAAATGTCTTAAAAACGTTCTGAGCTGTACATAGTGTGTGGGGAGCAGGAAAGAGACTGGGGCTCGCAGGTCGACTGGGATCAGCCTCAGAGACCTGAGGTAAGATCCCAGCCAGAACCGTGCGAGGGCCTGGGTCTTGTTGTTGACTGGGGAGGTGGCAAGAGTAAGATGTAACGCTGTGTAGCGGCTGCCCAGGAACAAGTAGAGGTCAGGCAAGCCTTTCCCCCCCTTGAACCTGGGCCTCTTTACCACCTCCCTCCTCAGCCTCTCCCACTTGCTTCCCCACAGAAAATAAAAGCTAACAAGCTAGCAGGCCGGATGCTAAACCTCCCAGATGACAAAACAAACAAGAGGGAAAAAAATGGGTATAAAACGAGGGAAATAATATGGATGGGGTGAAAGGACACAGAAAAAACAAAACGAATACTCACAAGACAAACCAAATTGAGGGGCTAGGAGGCTAGCAGGCCTCACCAGCAGGCCAGACTAAGCTAACCAGCTAGCAGGCTGGCCAGCCAACAAAATGGCCCCCCAAGTGAAAACAAAAGGCAACAAACAAAAACTAAGACAGGGGAAAGTTCAGGGGATGGAAATACAGTTTCAGGGGTATGGATGGGTTACAGAGGGGGGGGGGGGTATAATACGAACAGAAGGGAACAAACAATGCCTGCCAAGCCTAAGGGGCGAGGAGGCTAGCAGGCCAGCCCAGCTAAAAGCTAAACAGGCCGGCCGGCCAGCCAGCAAGCCAACCAAGCTAGCAAACACTAAAACAAACAGAAACGAGGGGGTAAAACTAAAGGGAAACTAGGGCTACAAGAGGATGGGGAAACACAAAATACAAAAAATAAGGAAGATAAAAGTAACAACAACGAGCAAACACAGAACAAATAATATTTTTTTGTTTTTTTCTAAAGTAAACACAAAACACACAACAACAACAAGCTAACACAAAGAGAGGCAATTAAGAAATAAGAAAAAACACTTAACTCACCCTACAGGTGCTAGCAGGCCTCACCAGCAGGCCAGGCTAAGCTAACCAACTAGTAGGCCGGCCAGCCAGCAAAATGGCCCCAAGTGAAAAACAAAAGGCAACAACCAAAAACCAAGACAAGGGAAAGTTCAGGGGATGGAAATACAATCTAAGGGGTATGGATGGGTTACGGGGGGGGGGGGTACAAGATGAACAGAAAGGAACAAACAATGCCTGCCAAGCCTAAGGGGCAAGGAGGCTAGCAGGCCAGCCAAGCTAAAGCTAAACAGGCCGGCTAGCCAGCAAGCCAACCAAGCTAGCAAACACTAAAACAAACAGAAAACAAGGGGGTAGAACTAAAGGGAAACTAGGGCTACAAAAGGATGGGAAAACACAAAGAACAATAAATAAAGTAACAAAAGAAGCAACAACGAGCAAACACAGAACAATTAATATTTTTTTTTTTTTTTTTTTTTTTTAAGTAAACACAAAACACACAACACCAACAACAAGCTAACACAAAGAAAAGCAAGAGATAAATAAGGAGAACAACTTAACTCACCCAACAGGTCCACCACCAAACCACCACCTAACCCGGGACAAAACAATAGTGAAACAGGAAAAATAAAAAATAAACTTTTGACAACAAAAGCACAAATTCTCTGCCCTCCAGCCTCCTGACTGTCTCTCTGTATGCCAGCCTGGTGAATGAGTCACCAGGCTGTCCCCGAACCCACACGCCAAGTTTTCGGGGGCTGTGGGGAAAAAGTCACAGACAAACACACAGACAGACTGATAAGAACAGATTTTTTCTTTTGGAAAAGTTTTTATTGTACATTTCCTTTAAAACAGCTCACATTTGCAATACATTTACACACATAAAAACGGCATCAAGTGCATTAAAACCAGCATTATATTACAGTTACATTTTAAAAGGTACATGTTGTTTATTTAAAACAATAAAACAATCCTATATAAAAGTACCCATTCCTGTAAAAGCCAATTTAGTAAAAGCCATTTAAAATGTGTATAGATGATTTAACAAAGTAAAACATTTTTAAGACATAAAAAGCCTGTCAAAAAGTCACTTTGTTAAAAAGCTGTCTTCGGTCCTTTGTACAAAAACGGGGTGAGTCCTTATCGAAAAAAAACCCCCTTTCCCCTTGCCTCCCCCCCTTTCCCCCCGGGAATACCCGAG